CCAAACTGGTGCCAACTTATACAAGGCCTTCGTTGTTCTAATGCTGTTCATTATCACGCAATTTGTTGTCAGTCTTAACGACTATTTTATGCCTTACTTGTAAGTCTCTAATTAAAAAGAATCAATTAATTCAACATGTTATATTTCTTTGCGTCATTTTTCGTAAAATATTTCTCGATTTTCTGAAAATTTGTGCATACACATATTTTTTATTAGAGTAATTCTTTTAATTTATTTCCAGAATCAATTTTGTGGAGGGGCAAAAATATCTAGCCAAGCTTCACAGATTGAATCAAACGAATGACACTTACGAGAATACTACGACAACTCATCCCGATATTATTCTCTCTGATAAGGAGGATGATATATCGCCGATGATGAATTACGTCTACATCTACACAACCATCGTGTTAAGCATTTTTCTTATTGGTATCATCAGATCGATAGCCTTTTACAAGACGTGCATGACTTGCAGCCAGCGTCTGCACGACATGATGTTTGGCGCATTAATTCGCACGGGAATGCGATTCTTTGACACTAATCCTAGCGGTAGAATTTTAAACCGATTCTCCAAGGACATGAGTACTGTCGATGAGTCATTACCAAAAGCGTTCCTGGATGCCGGACAGATGAATATGTTGATGATCGGTTCGCTGATGGTCACCTGTATAGTCAATCCTATCTGCTTAGCGCCTATCACATTCATCGGCATAATGTTCTACTGGATCCGCAAGGTTTACCTCAAGACCAGCAAAAATGTTAAGCGGTTGGAAGGAATGTGTATGTGTGCTCTCATTTTTATGCTTGGTTATTAAAAAAACTTCAATAATTGAAATCAGATTTTTTTTTATCATGTCTTTAGAACGAAATACTTTTAAAACACTTTTCTCGTTCATAGTCATTTTTAATTTGAATATTTTAATTTATAAATTAATTTTCTGATGCTTGTTATGGTAAATATTTTCTTGCATTTCAGCACGGTCGCCAGTATTCACTCACTTAAACACCACATTGAATGGTCTCACAACTATCAGAGCATACTGCGCTCAAGATATACTCAAGCAAGAATTTGACAAGTTGCAGGATTTACACACGTCAACAACTTACATGTATATGGTGTCTAACACGGCATTTGTATTCACTCTGGACATATTCTGTTTCATTTTCATTACGCTCCTCACCTTCAGTTTCTTGCTATTCAATCAATGTAAGTAATAAATTTTCCTTAATCAATCTCTACTTCTATAATTCATCTACAAGCACACTGCTCTTTTTATAATATTTTGATTTAGTTTTATTTTAGAGTATTATCTTTATTTTAGAAATTATTAATAAATCTCTTAGAATTATTTAATTTACCTAAGAAAAGTTTTATCTCCTCCTTAAAATAAATAAATATTAAATATTGTTGATAAGTCAAAGTATGCATTTTTATTCATCATAAACCGAAAGAGTGGTTAGAACTAAAGGAAATATTGTTCGTTTATATTTCAGCTTATTCCGGTGGCGAAGTTGGATTGGCTATCACTCAGGTGTTGGGAATAACTGGGATAATTCAGTTTGGAATGCGGCAGAGTGCCGAGATGGCGAATCAGTTGATGGCAGTAGAACGTGTGCTCGAATACGTCCAACTTCCGGCAGAACCGAATCTGAGAGACAGAGGAAAATACTTGAAGAAAAAAGATAAGGAAAATTTGGTATTGCCGGACAATGTACCAAAAGATTGGCCCGCAGATGGTTGCGTCGTATTCAAGAATGTCTATATGCGTTATGCGGACGAGGATCCACCTGTTCTGAAGGATTTAAACATAAAAATCTATCCCGGGGAAAAGGTACGAGAATTTTATGACAAATGTCGGCGTGATAATAAAACATAAACTAGATTTAATAATCTAGAGACTTTACAAAAAAATAGATGATTGAAAGAAATTTTCTCCGAAAGTTTAATTCTTGAAGAATTTTAAACGTTGAAAAGATCTTCTATGAAAGAAAGTCTGCAAAAGTAAAAAATTAATTAAATAGGAAAAAAATACTTCTTTTAGATAAAAAGCTGCAATTTTAATATTTAAAGAATATTTTAATTTCTTTTTAATCTTTCCAAATTTTTAACGGAATAAAAAAATAAATATAAAAATAATTTATATCTCAATATAAAAAAATTAAAAATAATTAAGATGTTCTATAAAATAATTATCATGTAGATTGGTATCGTGGGAAGAACAGGCGCTGGAAAATCATCATTGATAGCAGCTCTGTTTCGATTGGCGAAAGTGGAGGGAATCATTGAGATCGATGGGATAAACACGGGTATGATCGCCTTGGAGGATTTGCGACGTAAAATATCCATTATCCCTCAGGATCCTGTATTATTCTCAGGCACTTTGAGACGTAATCTGGATCCATTCGATGAATTCCCCGATAATGATTTGTGGGGAGCGCTCGAAGAGGTTCGTCAACTACTTTACTTTATGTCAAGTATTTAAAAATACTCGACATTGAATAATTACCAATATATTTTATATTGCTTAATAATATATCTATTTTGCAATATATTTCAGGTTGAATTGAAAGACGTGGTCGGAATTAACGGGAATGGTTTAGACAGTCGCGTGTTAGACAGAGGCAGCAATTTTAGTGTCGGTCAAAGGCAATTGGTATGCTTAGCGCGAGCCATTCTGAGAAACAATCGTATACTGATGCTGGATGAAGCGACTGCGAATGTTGATCCACACACCGATGCTCTTATCCAACGCACCATCAGAAAAAAGTTTGCGACCTGTACAATGCTTACAGTGGCGCATCGATTGAACACTATAATGGACAGCGATAAGGTTCTGGTGATGGATAAGGGTCGTATGACTGTAAGTATGGCTTATCTTTTGAAAAAAATAATCCATTTGTTTAATTCTTTCTTCTTGAAATCTCAGACTAAATGTCTATTTATAAATTTTCGCCGAAGATTTATGTAATTGAAAGAAAAGTAATTAAAAATCCGCACTTGCAGGCTATGAATGAATTCTAATAATTCTATAATAAATGAATTCATATTTGTGCTTTACTATACAGCGTGAAATATAAATGTATCTAGTTATTCATCATTAGTCATCATATTTATTTTAAAATATTACCGAAATATGATTTATTCTCTTTATTCTTTAATAATAAGAATGAAAGCTGCATATATAAAATTATAATTTGATGGCAATTTTTTTTCACAGGAATATGATCATCCTCATATATTATTGCAAAACGGCTACAGTCAATTCACGTCGTTAGTAAGAGAAACCGGTCCAGGTATGTACGATCAACTTGTCAAGGTGGCTAAGCAATCGTACTTAGATAAATATGGGGAAATATGACGGAGCATTTATGGATTTTTTACAAATAAATTTTCGTTAATTGAATTTTTTTCGAATTTTCTTTTTTTAAACTCAATCGTAGTAATATAAGCATATGTCGCTTAATGTCTGTGATATAACTGTAATACAGAAAGAGTATATACATAAATATAATCCCCCCTTGTATCTGCACTCAGATGAATTCTACTTATATTATTTCTACAAACTTAAAAGAGTACTATTGTATATGCATTTCTTTGGAACATTTTTATATAGACACGATACTTCTCATAAGTATTATAATTCGCAATGTTAATGCCAATCTAGAGCGTTGACAGAGATTCATATTTTTATATGTCATATAGATATATGCATTTAATGATCGTTTTGTTAAATTATTCTTGTCGTAATGTCAAGTTTATTCACATAATAATAAGTGACAATAATATTATAATAACTAAGAACTATAACTATAATGACAAAGAACGATGAAAATCGTTGAATAAACCAATCAAATTTGCTTAGACATTGCTAAGACATATGTCTTAAGAGACATAATTAATAATATTCTAATATATTTTTTGAAACGTTTTTTATTTTTTGATTGTTTGAAATATTTATTAGAAAGAAAAAGTGATAAATATATATATATTATATCTTATTATAATACTTATTATACAATTGTATAATAATATTGTGATTCACGTGATAAAAGCAACGCGAGTGAACTTTTTCTATATTTAAAATTTATCTGTAAAGATAATTTAATATCACAAGAAAATAGCGAACTGATTAAGTCAGCGCGGTAAGTAGTAACAATATGTTTCCATTTCTTAATTTGGAACCAATGTCAGTAACTGTCAAATATATATATTTTGTGGAGCATAAATTGTCGATTCAAATTTATATAAAGATAATATAAAATGTGAATTAAAATTTACGAATAACAATACATATACATATAATGATTGAATTAATTGTCTTAATGATTCTTAATAATATCCCTTCACACACACAATAGATAAAGATCTTCCTTCGATTCGAGTCGTAAAGGAAGATTCTGATAGATTCGAATTAATTAGAAACATGGCAACTGTCTCACCCTTTAACGATTAATTATGTGAATTAAATGCGAATAATTTTTTAATTTTACGATATTTTCTTATTTTTAATCTTACAAGTTTTGTTTAAAATTCAAATTAAAATTTTTTCATATGTAAATTTGTATATATGTCTAGTATAAAAACAAGATTCAATATCAGGCTTTAGATAGCAAACTCATCGAACAATCGTGCAACTCAACTGTACTTTATTACTTGTACATAAATGCGAATTATAACTGCGATTGTATGAACTTCCATGCTATTTGAAAAATGATACAGGCAAATAAATCACATGTAGCTATAGATAAAGCAAAGAGAGTATAGGTGTACGATATATACTTCTCCTTTAAACAGATAGAAGTATTCGGAAAGTCTACATTTGAACGTTGGACAGATAAGTCGATCGTTCGTGTTTCCTAAGAAATTGGATACACATTACAATAAAATTAACGCGTTCATTTTTTTCTACGGAGATTCGTAGAATTAAAAAGAAAAGCAAATATAAAAATATTAGTAAATTGTAATTTCTTCAAAATTTTATTACCTGAAAATTAGAAAAAAAATTAATTATTGTCGAAATAAGCGAAGTACATATTTAATTATTATTACCAAATTGTTAGAGAAAATCACAGACATCTCGAGACTTCACAAAAAGGCACATAAAGGCACTTAAATATCAATTGATAACAAATGATCTAATATCTGATATTTTACTATTGCAAGAAAATTATCACGGATTCGTAAAATAAGAATCCAGCATAATTAATCGTGGGAACTCATGACGTCTGCAAAAGAAGCTGATACAAGATGCAAGAGTTAATTCAATGTGATTGCAATTGCACAAAGAGATTGCAACTGATAAACTTGGTATCAACGAGTGTCAATTTTGATATCTTCAGTTTATTACAAGATTTCTAATAATATAATTGAAGAGATCATATTAATACCGTAAATATTTTTTATTGAAAAAGCGGAAGAAACATTTTCCATCACGACAGAGAATTCAAACGTCAAATAGAAGTGATATACACATATCGATAATTATCGTATTAGCTAACTCGATAAGCTAATTGATCGTTTTACCCTGCTGACTCAAGTGATAATTTGCGGCGAGTTAATGCCGCGTGTAAAGAGTGATGTATTCAACGAAAACCAAATCGAAACCCAATCCAAGGGAAAAGGCGAACATTGTTTCGGTATTGCTGTGGTGGTAAGTTGTGCAATTTCTTAAATAAATCGAACTTTATCAGGCATTTTATAAGACTCCACGGAGTCTAGAGCTATTCAAGGTGTGCTCGAAGATAGTTAAATACGTTTAAATATTTAGAGATTCAAATATATTTAATGTGTGTTTGGATATCTGTATATATGTACTTTCAAATATTCGCATACCAAATATTTGTGTTAATATTTATGCATTAATGTTTAAGTAAAATATTATTATTAAGGTAAATCGGTAATTGTATTTTTATAAAAATAAATAATTTAGAATAATATTTATCGAAATATAGTGCACAATTTGTGATACATACTATGTATAGCACGTAAGATAGCTTCTTGCGTAAAATTACATCTTATCTTATCTTATCACGCAAACTTATTTTGAATTAGAGAATGACATTGCATTTGTCGAGACAATTGTGAAAGAAATTGTTATACCAGCCTGACGTATGTTCTTTTAAAAGAAAAAAAACATGTCCTTCTTTCAATTTTGATTCTTTTGACTTTGCGATTTATTTTCATGATTACATCGTTTATAATTTAACATGCAATTTTTGCTATAATAAAACTTAATTAAATTTGTATCTCTCTCTCTCATCGAATTATTAGGTGGACCATCAGTTTATTCAAGACAGGATACAGAAAAGATCTAGAAATAGAAGACTTGTTCGATCCTTTGAAAGTTGATGAATCCGGTTTACTCGGAAATCGATTAGAAAAGTAAGTATCAAAATCGAACTTGCAGGAAAGAAAAAAAGAAAAAATAGAAGAAAAAATGATCCTTTTTTCTTGTATACTACTTCATTAAAACTCAATAATAATAATAACGCGTAGAATATACTGATGTGTTTTTAGTCGATGGAAAATCGAAGTGGAAAATTCGAAGAAATGGAAGCGCAAGCCGAGTTTGCTCAAAGCCATTTCTCGCACATTTTTGTGGGAGTACTTCCTACTCGGAATGATAACTGTACTCAACGAATTTGTGATAAGGTATTATAAATTACACAATTGATTGAAGTCTAATTTATTTCTACAATATTAAATGCGAAATTCGCAGGTTGGGTACACCGTTGTTGCTGGGTGGTCTACTACGCTACTTCCGGAAAGACTCGGTTGAATCATACGAAAATGCTCTGTGGTATGCAGCTGGAATATGCATATCAACCGGCATATACGCGATAACCAGTAATCAAGCCACTTTCGGAGGTTTTCATCTGGGTGCTAAAATCCGGGTGGCCGTCTGTTCTCTGGTTTATAGAAAGGTCGATTATTTGTTTCGTTTATTTTTATTTCAAGGAATCTACCTGAAAATCTATGCTTAGAAAATTAGAGATAAGATACGAAATCATATCTAAAGCAAAAAGCTTCTTCACTTAATTCTTATCTGATTTATAAATTCTACGAAAAAATTAAGAAAAGTAGAAAAAATATAATGAAAAGAAAAGGAAAATTGTAACAAAGCATATAAAGTAAAAAAAGTATTAACTCTTGAATTATTTAACAATGATTAACATGTCTTGCAGGCTCTGCGTCTAAGCAAGACTGCGCTAGGCGAGACAGCACCGGGAAAAGTAGTCAATTTAGTGGCTAACGATGTCAATAGATTCGATCTTGTGTCCATCGTTATCCAGTACATGTGGTCGGCACCTTTGTCAGCTCTAATCGTGGCTACCATTTTATACCAACAGATCGGCTATGCCGGTCTTATCGGCGTCGCCATCGTCTTCGTGGTTGTGGCAATCCAATGTGAGTTTCTCGTCCGATCAGAATTGATTAAATTGTGTACAAAATTTTTTTCTGAATAATCATTCATAACAAATAATATTTCTTTATAACAAATAACATATTCGAAATAGAAAAGCTATTGAAGCCGAATGCGGATGTATATGCGTATGAACAGCGAAAATTTAATTATTTTGCAGTTTTTTAAATTGTGCACGAGGCACGAAAATTTTCTTAGTAATTGCTAAAACTTATTAAAATCTCTTACTAGAGATGATAAGTTCCCCTTTTACCACTCTGAAGAAACGTATATGTTATTTATTAATATCGGGAGCCTTACTTCAGTATTTTAATATTATCTTTCTAACAGTTTTTTATTTATAACCGTGATTTTAGCAAATACCATGAAGCTAACATTCAAATTCCGGGTTCAGACGGCCATCAAGACGGACGAGCGAGTTCGCCTGATGGACGAGATCATTTCCGGAATTCAGGTAATCAAGATGTACGCGTGGGAGAAGCCGTTTTGCGCGATGGTCGAACTAGTACGTAAACTTGAGATTCGAGTGATCACCAAAACCTCGTATATCCGTGGCATCTATATAACCTTCAATCTCTTCACAACCCGGATGGCGCTTTACTGCACTCTCATCACAATGCTGATGTTGGGCAATGATCTCACCGCCGACAAGGTCTTCGTCGCTTCGTCCTACTTCAACATTCTTGCGCAGACTATGTCTGGCATGTTTGTGCGCGGCATCGCCGAACTGGCCGAATATATGGTATCTGTACGCAGACTTCAGAGTTTCCTCATGAACGAAGAGTTCCAGGGTACCAACATCTCTAAAACGTCCTCCGACTACCCTAGCCTCTGTTCAGATTCCAAGCAGACTGCAGACCACAAGCAGGATCTGCCTTTCATCGATGATGATGTTGCGGAGGATTATCAGAACTTAGTTGAAAGAAATGAGTCCAAACAACAGAATGCATTAACTACTGTCGCTAATGATTTGCTAAAGACTACTGGAGATCGTATTGAGGGTGAGTGTGTGAAATCAAATGTTTTGTCGGCGTATTGATCGAATTATAAGAAATATAATATAAAGATAATTATAATTTTACACATAATACTAGAACTTTACTTATTAATAATATGTATTATTTTCCATTTTTGACATCATGAAAGTTATTTTCTTAGAATTTTTTAATATTTTGGCTAAAAATTGTTTTTAAAGTTTCGTACATTCCGAAGCTTTTTAAAGTGAGTAATTGAGCATAAATTTTATTTTATTATTTATAATGCAAACAAGATATTTAAAAGTCACTTAAATTATCCGATATTTTTAACTATATATTTTAGATTAAAGAAATTTATTTCAACAGAAAAGTTATTTTCATTCACAGAAAAAAGGCGGTCGTACACCAACATGCACTGTGCCATCAACATGATCAACGTAACTGCCAAGTGGGAGGCTTCACAATCGCAGAATACATTGGAGGATTTAAATCTACAGATAGAAAAGGGCAAGTTGTATGCTGTGATCGGAATGGTGGGCAGCGGCAAAAGTTCCCTTCTATCCGCGATTCTGGGTGAGATCACCCTGACGGAAGGTCAAATCAAAGTCAACGGCAATATCAGCTATGCCAGTCAAGAAGCTTGGGTGTTCGGTGCCACTGTTCGACAAAACATACTGTTTGGACAGCCTTACGAACGTCAACGATACCAGAAGGTGGTTAAAGCTTGTGCCTTACTGAGTGACTTTAAGCAATTTCCGCAGGGTGATCAGACCATCGTGGGCGAACGTGGCAGCTCACTATCTGGTGGACAAAAGGCCAGAATCAATCTGGCCAGAGCCCTGTACAGACAGTCGGACATCTACCTACTGGATGATCCCTTGAGCGCGGTAAGCAACTTTCAGATGGTTCAGTCATTTATAGTTTTTTCATGTATTCGATTCTATTCATATAATAATATCATTATACAGAATTATTACAGAATTCATAGCTTTTAAACGCGTCCTTTTTACGACTTTTCTTTCAATTCTATAAATCTTACAATTTCTCAAATCTGAATTATTTTAAATTTTTCTTCTTAAAATTAATTTATTAATAAATCAAGGTAACAAATCGCGCAGATAAAATTATTTAAATTTCAAACTTTGTTAATGTAAGAAAATTTTTACGTGGTAAAATTTAGGTCGATGCACACGTCTGCAAACATCTGTTTGAAGAGTGCATTCAGAAATACCTAGCTGGGAAAACAAGGATTTTGGCGACGCATCAATTGCAATATATAAAGGGAGTGGACGCCATTATATTGTTCGAACAAGGAAGAATAAAATACTTTTCGCATTATCAAGATTTACTGGAGAATCATCCAGAGTACGGAGTACTCTTAGCAGAAGAGAATGAGAACGATGATTCATTTCCAGAAGAGTGGAGCATAAGACGACAGTTTTCCTCTGCGAGTAATAGAGTAAGTAAAAGTATATAAATATTCATATCAGAATTGTGAAGAAAGATAAAAAAAATTTTCTAAAACATGTAAAAAATTGAATTCTATTTAAACTTAGAGTTAGTAAGATAATTTTTAAAAATATATTATATAATTTTTTACTATTTTTTAAGTTTAATGTTCCCAAGCTGTATTAAATAATAAATAATATTTAAATAAAAAAAGAAATATGTTGCTGATAATGAATCATTTATATAATAGAGTCGTACTACGGAAATAAGCAATGGCGGTACAGATGACGGAAAAGAAGACGAAGATAAAAAAGAGTTAAACAACGGTCTCGAGGCGACGTCACGTGGTGTAGTTAAAGGCTCCATATTTATCAAATACTTCCAAATTGGTGTCAACTTATACATTGCCTTCGTTATTTTAATGCTGTTTATCATCACGCAATTTGTTGTCAGTCTCAACGACTATTTCATGCCTATGTTGTAAGTCTTCGATTAATAAGAATCAATTATTTCAACATGTTACATTTCTTTGCGTCATTTTTCGTAAAATATTTCTCGATTTTTTGAAATTTGCAGCATACACATATTTTTATTAGAGTAATTTTTTAAATTTATTTCCAGAGTCAATTTTGTGGAAGCGCAAAAATATCTAGCCAAGCTTCACAGATTGAATCAAACGAATGACCGTTACGAGAACATAACGACAAATCATCCCGATATTCTCTCTGATGAGCAGGATATGTCGTCGGTGATGAATTACATCTACATTTACACAGCCATCGTGTTAAGCATTTTTCTTATTGGTATCATCAGATCGATAGCCTTTTACAAGACGTGCATGACTTGCAGCCAGCGTCTGCACGACATGATGTTTGGCGCATTAATTCGCACGGGAATGCGATTCTTTGACACTAATCCTAGCGGTAGAATCTTAAACCGATTCTCCAAGGACATGGGTTCTGTCGATGAGTTGTTACCGAAAGCAATCATGGATGCCGGACAGATGAACATGTTGGTGTTGAGCTCGCTGATAGTCACCTGTATAGTCAATCCTATCTGTTTGGCGCCTATCACATTCATCGGCATAATGTTCTACTGGATCCGCAAGGTTTACCTCAAGACCAGCAAAAATGTCAAGCGGTTGGAAGGAATGTGTATGTGTACTCTCATTTTTATGCTTGGTTATTAAAAAAAACTTTTCAATAATTAAAAAGCAGATTTTTTTCATAAAGTCTTTAGAACGAAATACTTTTAAAACACTTTTCTCGTTTATAGTCATTTTTAATTTGAATATTTTAATTTATAAATTAATTTTCTGATGCTAGTTATGGTAAACATTTTCTTGCATTTCAGCACGGTCGCCAGTATTCACTCACTTAAACGTCACATTGAATGGTCTCACAACTATCAGAGCGTACTGCGCTCAAGAAATACTCAAGCAAGAATTTGACAAGTTGCAGGATTTACACACGTCTACAATTTACATGTTTAGGGTGACTAGCACGGCATTCGTCTTCATTCTGGACATGTTCTGCTTCATTTTCATTACGCTCCTCACCTACAGTTTCTTGCTATTCAATCAATGTAAGTAATCAATTTTCCTTAATCAGTCTCTATTTCTCAAATTTACCTACAAGCACATTGCACTTTTTATAATACTTTTATATAGTTTTAGTTTAGAGAATTATCTTTATTTTAGAAATTATTAATAAATCTCTTAGAATTATTTAATTTACCTAAGAAAAGTTTTATCTCCTCCTTAAAATAAATAAATATTAAATATCGTTGATAAGTCAAAGTATACATTTCTATTCATCATAAAGAGCAAGACTAATTAGTAGAACTAAAGGAAATAGTATTTGTTTATATTTCAGCTTATTCCGGTGGCGAAGTTGGATTGGCTATCACTCAGGTGATGGGAATAACCGGGATAATTCAGTTTGGAATGCGGCAGAGTGCCGAGATGGCGAATCAGTTGATGGCAGTAGAACGTTTGCTCGAATACGTCCAACTTCCGGCAGAACCGAATTTGAGAGACAGAGGAAAATACTTGAAGCAAAAAGATAAGGAAAAATTGGCATTGCCGGGCAATGTATCGAAAGATTGGCCCGCAGATGGTTGCGTCGTATTCAAGAATGTCTATATGCGTTATGCGGACGAGGATCCACCTGTTCTGAAGGATTTAAACATAAAAATCTATCCCGGGGAAAAGGTACGAGAATTTTATGACAAATGTCGGCGTGATAATAAAACATAAACTAGATTTAATAATCTAGAGACTTCACAAAAAAATAGATGATTGAAAGAAATTTTTTCCGAAAGTTTAATTCTTGAAGAATTTTAAACGTTGAAAAGATTTTCTATGAAAGAAAGTCTGCAAAAGTAAAAAATTAATTAAATAGAAAAAAATACTTCTTTTAGATAAAAAGCTGCAATTTTAATATTTAAAGAATACTTTAATTTCTTTTTAATCTTTCCAAATTTTTAACGGAATAAAAAAATAAATATAAAAATAATTTATATTTCAATATAAAAAAATTAAAAATAATTAAGATGTTCTATAAAATAATTATCACGTAGATTGGTATCGTGGGAAGAACAGGCGCTGGAAAATCATCATTGATAGCAGCTCTGTTTCGATTGGCGAAAGTGGAGGGAATCATTGAGATCGATGGGATAAACACGGGTATGATCGCCTTGGAGGATTTGCGACGTAAAATATCCATCATCCCTCAGGATCCTGTATTATTCTCAGGCACTTTGAGACGTAATCTGGATCCATTCGATGAATTCTCCGATAATGATTTGTGGGGAGCGCTCGAAGAGGTTCGTCAACTACTTTACTTTATGTCAAGTATTTAAAAATACTCGACATTGAATAATTACCAATATATTTTATATTGCTTAATAATATATCTATTTTGCAATATATTTCAGGTTGAATTGAAAGACGTGGTCGGAATTAACGGGAATGGTTTAGACAGTCGCGTGTTAGACAGAGGCAGCAATTTTAGTGTCGGTCAAAGGCAATTGGTATGCTTAGCGCGAGCCATTCTGAGAAACAATCGTATACTGATGCTGGATGAAGCGACTGCGAATGTTGATCCACACACCGATGCTCTTATCCAACGCACCATCAGAAAAAAGTTTGCGACCTGTACAATGCTTACAGTGGCGCATCGATTAAACACTATAATGGACAGCGATAAGGTTCTGGTGATGGATAAGGGTCGTATGACTGTAAGTATGGCTTATCTTTTGAAAAAAATAATCCATTTGTTTAATTTCTTTCGTCTCGAAATCTCAGATCAAGTGTCTGTTTATAAATTTTCGTCATATTTGCTTTACTATACAGCGTGAAATATAAATGTATCTAGTTATTCATCATTAGTCATCATATTTATTTTAAAATATAACCGAAATATGATTTATTCTTCTTATTTTTTAATAATAGGAAGAAAGTTGGATATATAAAATTATAATCTGATGGTGATTTTTTTTCATAGGAGTACGATCACCCTCATATGTTATTGCAGAACGGCTACAGTCAATTCACGTCGTTAGTAAGAGAAACCGGTCCAGGTATGTACGATCAACTTGTCACGGTGGCTAAGCAATCGTACTTAAATAAATATAGGGAAACATGACGGAGCATTTATGGATTTTTTACAAATAAATTTTCGTTTTCGATTTCCGTTTTTTAAACTCAATGGAGGTAAAATAAACATATTGCATAATGTTTGTGATATAACTGTAATACAGAAAGTGTATATGCATATATATATATATATATATTCTTGTATCTGCACTCAGATGAATTTTACTTATATTATTTCTACAAACTTAAGAGTACTATATTGTATACGTCTTTCTTTAGAAATACGTCATTTTATATAAGCTACTATACGTAATCTCCTAAGTATTATAATACGCGATGTTAATGCCAATCGCAGAGAGTGTTTACAGAGATTTATATTTATATATGCATTTAATGATGAGGTTTTGTTAAATTATTCTTGTCGTAATGTCAAGTTCTTCCACATAATAATAAAGTAACAGTAATATTACATTTTTTAATTTTAATTGTAAGTTTTAACTTACTTTTAGAAATCATAAATATTTCTACATTTTTTTATAATTGAGCATATATCATCTAAGGGATTAATTGTATTAACGAGATAAAGCAAAGTTTATTCTAAAAATATTGAGTTACATAAGATAATATTTGCACAGCCTAAACATTTGATCGTTATCTCAACATTTATCTGCACCCGTATATACTTTGAATCATAAGTTTCGTTTAAAAATTGCAATATATAATATCGAGCTTAACACAATTTAAATAAATCAATTTTATTGGAGCCAATAAATTGCATTGATCGAAAATAGCTAATAATGACACTTATATCGATTTCTCCCTTAATTTATAATCTCTCAACAAAAGTCACAAATAACCAATTATGCGTGATGTAAATTGAAATCCGCGACTTATATACACGTAAACTTATTTTGAATATAATATAACACCAGCAATCATTATGCGAGCCTATTTAAGAGCCACGATTCTTTCAAGAAATCTTATTGAAATAGCAGAATTTTCCATCAAACTGGAGAACAAAAAAATTATTCACATCAGAAGCGATTCTTAGATTTTTGCTCGAATCACAATTTTCATTCGAAAAATCTGGGACTTTACGAGCTGACGAGCTGAGAGATTGGAGCGGGAATCCCTCTGGAATTTCTCCCCTATTTGAAAGTCCCCATCTGCGATTCGGCATCCCCTTCGACTCTTTGGCCGAGCGGTCGCCCAAGGATTGCGTGTTACATGCAGCGAGAGCGTGACGCTCAATGCAGGCTCAGTGCTCGCGCAGACGTCGTCGTGGCCAGTTGTTTTTCCTCTTCGTTGTGTTACTTTGATCTACGTGTGCGTGAGTTGTGCGCGTTGTGAATCTGTTACGACGAAAAGCGGAGCAAAGAGAATCCGGCCACGTGTGCGACGAACCCGGTCTTTAAACGCACGACAGCCAAAATCTTCGATTAGGTGAGGGTCGAGGTTTAATCTCGGAGCAGAAGAGAGCTTGTCGCACGACATCTATTTGCTTATGCTCGAGAGAATGACGCGGCGAATCATTCTTTCATAAGGTTTCCAATTCTCGCGGAGCCTGCCAAAAATAGTCATGTCATTTCTTGTTGTAGGCGAGAAAGAGAGAGTAGGAAACGTTTCAACAATAGTTTATTTTGTAGTTTAACGGGATATGTTTCTAGTTATAAATTTAATTTAAAAATAGCAATGATACAGTTCTATATCGAAATAGTATGACCTTTATGATATTTGCAGTTTTTCGACGCGTAAGAGTTTCTTTTCGTTTGGAGGAGCAATATATTGTTATCTTATATTTGTAAATGCTAGTCTGTGATAAGAAATACAGATGTGTTCATTCATCGTGTTTCCTGGATCGATATTTTACCACGTGGTACCGGGATATATGATGAATTGCAAACATTTCTGTTTGAAATAAATTATAATTATTTTGTTTGCATTTTATTACGGCGAATCTCTTAATGGGATTTTATTATGACGCGAAAATAAATAGGAAGAAGTAAGTATATGTGAAGTGTTGTATTAGCAATACTCTATAACGACTTGACCTTTCCCTACTTTATGTTATTCCGGAGAGAAATCGATTTCAAATATATCCAGAAACCAGAAATTATACGTGAGAGAAAACGCTATTCTTATAATATACATTTTGATATATATATTTATATTTATGGAATGGCATATAATTATAAGTAATATATTCGTGTAACGATATAACATTTAATTAAAAATTTATTTCTTTGCTTGGATGAGAAAAAAATAGTTATAAAACTACTAGTATTAATTATACACATTATTACTGCTATTTTTAAAATTATTATTACTACTATAATAAATAATGATGTGCGTTTGGATCACCCGGTGCATTAATTGCTCTCACACATTTGAACGTAACTGGTTTCTGTTGGACGCGTTTCGTTCTTTTTGCAGTTTACGTCACGGAAGGATTACATAATAAGTCATTTCACAAATAACATTAATACGATATGTCATCCACCTAAGGTCTTAAAAATATCCGACACAATGTCCGTGAGAATGAAGGCTACATTGTGCCAAGTTTTTTATAAGCACGTATTATGCTTTCAAGACGTCTTGATTATTAATTTTCGAAGCGTTTGGAAATGAAGAAATTTGATTGAAAAAATATGTATATGTTTGTAAAAATAATTGCACGCATGTATATTTAAAAAAAAGCCAAGTTATATATTTTTGTTCCTCAATTTATAATAAAAATGCTGAAGCACACAGTTTTATACATTGTGCCTCTTTCTTTCGAAAGGATTAGTTGAGAAAACAGAGAGAAGCTGGAAAGCGCAATGCTTAACAAGAGACTATGATAATAACAATGTGAAAAGTATCTTCTACGCAGATTACCGCACGTGTTCGTAAATAAGGATTTATTTGCATGTAAATTTCCATCAATGCACACGTGACTCGAAGAGAAGCGAATATTTGTTTTCCACGTCAGAGACTTCTCTTGCTTTGCTCGAGAAAAAATTGAATTAGAAAAAATTAAGAGAAAGGAGAATCTTGATTTTTTCCACTTGTTCATTTCTATTTTTGATATTCCTTATTTCTATATATTATTTAAATAGAAGGAAAAATATATTCGCAGATATAAAAAATAGTATTCGATGCCAATCACTCTATACGTGCTTTTAACTTGACTTTGAAAGGCACGCACAGTTTTAACTTGGAATTCCTCTTGCTCCTGGTTATTCTTAAATATTGACTTTTGATCACATGCGAATCTATTTATCATGTATAACGTGTAACGTTGTACGTGCTTCAACTACCTTCTCGTTTGTTGTCCAACACGTTTTCCTTGCTTTAATTCTTGGTATTTGAATTTTCTTGAGATTCTTAGACGAGAAAAGTCATTCATAAATCTGCAAATGCCTTGAAAGTATTTTAAAGTTGTAGATTTTACAAAAAAATTTCCAATTTAACAAATCTTGGAATTGAGAACATTTTTCATTTGTTCGTATATATTTTTTGATTTTTTCTTAACAAAAATTCTTCTATTTTTCCTCATGTTGCATTTTTAACTTTTTCTTTATATTTTATCCCGAGCAAATATCTGTGTTTAAATAGCATTTTCTTATTAAATGCTTGGATCATCGGAAGAGGTAAGTTTCTGAAAAATTCTGACAATAAAATGGAGAAAGGTTTTTGCCAGAATGAAAAAAGTCGCATTTTAGCTGCTTTAACAGAGTCGCTCGCTCGTTCTATTACGTTAAATGTGAGTCACGATTAGGCTGTGTTTCAATAAAGATTACGTATCGCGCGTCCCAGAACAATTGACCTGGTGTCTTTCAACCAACTCGAATTGCAATGAGTTATTGTTGTAACACGTCAAACATTTAATCGTTCCTTAATCGACTTTATAGCAAACGAGGCCATCATATCCATTTGACATATTTAGATCAGATATAAAAGACATCCAATATTTATTGATAATAATGTATCAATTAAGATCATATCTCTCAGGAGTTAACAAAATTATTGTTAAATAAGACAGAGAGATTTTGACAATTTATTCAAATTATTTAAATTGTCGCGAAGAAATAAATTGTTATTAATATTTTATTATTTAACTATAGCACATTAATGATGTCATTCTTGATGCATCTTTTTTTAGAAACTGTGAATGAATTTGCGAGTTTAAATAGACTTTGTACTTGCCGGTGATTACAGCTTTGTCTGTGCAATTCCGTATATTACATGATTCTATTAAGTAAAAACTGCCATATTATATAACTTTGCTACTTCACGCGACTATTCTTCTTTCAACTATTAATCGCCAACATATATGTGTATGTCACTCTCACATTATTATTTAATCTCATTTTTGCTTGAGCGGGTTCAAATTGAATTTAACATGTTTGCTCTAAATTAATTTCAGCGTACAATCTTATATATATATATATATATATATATATATATATATATATATATATATGACACATGGGATGACTGCAGATAAGATAATTATATTAATATTATTTCATAAGATTTGCTAATATATTATTCTATAATATCTCCGAAAATAGAATTAATAATTTATTATACACATTCGATTTTTGTATTTCCACATAAAATTATTTATCATTATTTGACGGAGACATAAACTGTCCTAATAAATTTTTCGGAACGTTTCTCATTTTTTTGTTTAAAATATTTATTAATAAGAGAAATTTCTGATAAATAAATAAATATATATGTATATATAATTATAAAATTGCATATTCTGATCCACGCGATAAAAGCAACGCGAGTGAATTTTTCCGGTATCTAGAATTTATCTGTAAAGATTAGTTCGCTTAACGTTTCGATGTAACAGCTTGCAGAAGGCAACTTAATTATCGTCCTGCATTATTCATGATCGACGCAGAGAATGATGATGCTTATCAGACCTGGGATAACTGGGGGAACTATTAAATGTCTTTTAAGAAACCTTTGGAACCTTGCCACATGTGTTAATCTGATTTGCATTACCATGCATGTAATTTGCACCCATGTGTCGTAAAATTTTTCAACAAACTGAATTCTTTTAATAATGGTTTGCATCTATTTGTCAATTGTTTTAAATCATAGTAAATTTTTTTTTAATATTTTGTGTATGCAAAATAACTTTATTTTTTACCGTTATGTAATCTTATATTGCAGCAGATTCTTATCGAGAGAAAATGTTTATGTAATATATCATCATGATTTCGTAATATTTGCAAGAAATACTGTAAGCATAAAACAAATAATCTACAATAATTTCTGTTACAGCAGATCTTACACTTGTTTCTTCGATTATCTTTACTCATACTAAAATCATATTTTTCAATACTTAGCGTCTTCTAAATTTGACCAAATACTGAAGCAACTGATCGTTTGATTGTCGAATTTAACGAAAAAATTTCGTAAAAATTGCAAATAACAAAATATATGTGTATATTTACATTTAATAAATTAATTATATAATAAATAAAAATTAATGTAATGTACAATGGATATTTTTTTAATAATAATAAAATATAATATTAATTATATATGATGAATACGTGAATAAATTAATAAAATACATGCGAGATATGAAATTACGATCACAAAAGATATTTTGATGTTTGCACTTTTAGAGATTCGAATACAATTGCTGCATATATAATTACTTCATGATAAAGCCACGAGAAAAATCTTATCACTTTCGCTATCATACATATGGCTCATGTTCTGAAAAACATCTCGGGATAACATGCGATATTTAGGCACGCAATATTGCCGGAACGAAATGTCTCATTAATTATTCTTTTTAGAGAATTTAAAAATAATGGAAAGATTTTAGAAAGTAAATCTTATACGCCATAAATAATTTATAAACGTCTCAGCATCGTACATAATTATAACACTCATATAATTAGTTTAGCTGCATATCTCTACTTTATATCGTATTTTATATCGTTTTTTTATGGTACATTAAAATATATATTTATACACTTTTTATATATATACTTTATTCCACACAGACATATTTTTTCCATTATCATAAATGTTTTTGTCAATAACTGACGAAATAATCGTTACTTTTTTTATTTTTGGTTTATTAGTTTGACCTTTACGCAGCAAATTTTACAAGCAGGATCGGATTTAGCTATAGACATTCTAAGAATGCTTAGAAAAAAAGTTTAAAGATATATTCAAGAGCCCCTAAACAAGGTAGACCCAATCCTGAGTCTAAAATAGTTCGGAGAACCAGACATTAGAAGAACCCAAAATGATGGATAAAAAAATACACACAGACCTGGTTTCCTGTCTCATAAAACCTTGAACAATCTTTACATTATAGACGTAATTATTACCTGGCAAAAAAAGCGAAACGGAAATCTTTATGTACACAAATCATAAAAAATCGTATTATTTTTCGATAAACAATTTTATCTTGCAATAATGAGAATTTTTAAGTTTTCTTGATTTTTTCATATTGTATGTGGAAAAAAACTAAAGAGTTATTTATTTAGAAATCTAAATTAGAAATGAGGACTTTTTGAAAAAAATGGATTTTTAAATAATAAAGAAAATTAATTCTAAGATTATTTTTAACTATGAAGAAAAGTAGTTAAGAAAGCATTAATTCGCAAAGATAAGTGTACGCAAACGCGATAGTTTATCTGTTCCAAGGATTTTATTAATGCCGTTTGTTTTTCTTCCGTTATTACAGCTTATGTCTAGTCAATGACCGATAAACATTGTATTTTCCACATTCGTCAAAGTGTAAATGGATTTTCCCTTATTAAGTATCAACGTCTAGCAAAATATTAATTAAAAATTTAATTTTTTAAACTTGTATAAGGAAAAGTTAGCTAGATAAATTTCGAAGAATTTTGATGATGACTCTTTCATATTATTTTTGAAGAGATTTGATTAAATATTAAAATTATTAATAGTTCTAATTTTAACGACACATGAATTACTGTATTTTATATGTTAACTTTAATTAATTTAATATCACAAGAGTAAATAGCGAATTGATTAAGCTAGCGTGGTAAATAGTACGCAGATTGATTTTTCTTGTTAAAATTATTTATTTAGCAAGTATATATTTCGGTTTCCTAATTTTGAACCATTGTCAGTAACAGTCAAACATATAAATAAATTTTGTGAAGCATAAATTATCGATTCATATTTAAATAAAAACAATTAAGTAATATAAAATATCAATTAAAATTTACAAATAACAATACACATACATGTATATAATAATGGAACTAATTGTCTTTCTATGATTCTCAATAATATTCTCGATGGACTTGTAAAGAAAAATTCTGTTCCATTCTGATTAATTGAAAACATCGCAAATGTCTCACCCTTTAATGATTAATTGTGAGTTAAATGCGTGCAATTTTAGATAATTATAAACAGAAATTATAATTAAGAAGTTACTCTATCGTATAGTGCTCCGTAAATCACAGGAAATAAGAAGCGCCTGTCAGATATTCGAACTAAATTACTTCAATAATTGTCACGTGACATTGTGGAAAAATTGGAAGATTGAATAAACAAACACCGAGATTTAAGGATGTTTATGTTTAAATAAAAATAACACAACTATCTTCCGCCAAGTTTAAAACGGGTGATAAATCCTCTACCATCGTGAGATGTGCGCAAGATTTATTTTATCTTTATTTGACAGATGCTAAAAATGGCTTGAAATTAGGATTAAACATATGAAATAAATAATTGTAACAAGAAAAAACAATTTTTGCATTGCTTGATACGTTAGACTTTTAATTAATTATTTACTTGCGATATTTATAATATTCTAAGCCTTCTATGTATTTCACCCCACTGATTTTATTTTTATTAAATTCAATTTGTGCCGTCTGTAACTGTTCTAATTTGTAATCATTTAATTTTTTAATTTTACGATATTTTCTAATTTTAAATCTTACTCACTCTTTAATCGTGGAGACCTAAGAAAAGTATCCTCTACAGTGCAGCGAACTCTATTGCGTATTGAACTCCGGAGGAAACGCTTGCAATTAGTTAAAACACCTATTCTGACAACAATTCAACGCAAACAACGGCTACAATATCGAGAATGAACTTTGGCTGAGGTAGCGTTTTCCGAAATGAATCACAATTTCTACTCCATCGAGTAGATGGAAGGTGGAGGATCAGGAATGCTGGCACCCCTGGCTTGATAGCCGATAATCATTTCTCTTTCAGAGTCTGATAAATCGGTTGCTTCACCCATGAAAAAAGTTGTTATTGCGTTTACAAATGTCACACTAGTGTGTGACATTCCTATATATAGACTATGTATCTGTGAGCTTAGGATATTTGTTGAAATAGGTATCATAATATAATGATGACACTGGACAGTGTATGTCTACTATAAAAAGAAGAAACATTATCAGACGTTCGATCGCAACTTCATCAAACAATCGTGCATCTCAATTGTACTTCATTACTTATACGATAAATGCGAGTTATAGCTGCGATTGCATGACCTTCCATGCTATTTGAGAAATGACACAGCAGGCAAACAAATCGCGTGTAGCTAGATAAGGCGAAGAGAGTACAAGCAAATGATACAAACTTCTTCTTTAAACAGATAGACATATTCGAAGAATCCACATTTGAACGTTGGACCGACAAGTCGATCGTTCGTGTTTCCTTAAAGCTTAATTCGATACACATTACAATTGTCTGGAGCGTCCATTTTTTTCTACTACGACGGAAATTGGCAGAATTAAAAAGAAAAGCAAACATACAAATATTAGTAAGTTGAGAAATATCTTTAAAATTTTATTAGTTGCCCATACACCACAAAATCTTTTTTAAATTTTTTAAAAATCTTTCTTAAAAGATAAAATAATTCTCGAAAATATTTTTGAAATGTTTCTATGTCCGCTTTTTTATGTTTAAAAAATATTTTTTAATATACATTTAAAAACTAATATTTCGAAAATATGTATCAAATATTTAAGAAAATATTATCTGAGTGATAAAGAAGAATGTTTTTTAAAATATTCTAAAAGAATGTTATCCCAAAAAATTTTTTAATTATTTTAAAATATTCCTAAAACTATTTTAAAATGCTTTTCCGCAATATTTTTAAAAAATATTTAGAAATATTTTTTAAAAACATTTATAATATTTTATGCTGTATGGGTGAAAATTAATAGGAAAATTAAATTATTGTCCAATTAATCGATGTTCATTTTTAATTATTATTTATAAATTGTTAGAGAAAATCACTGAGACATCTCGAGACTTCGCAAATCGGCACTTGAAGGCACTTAAATAGCAAGTGATAACAGATTTATAGTACCTGATATCTTACTTGTACAAGAAAATCATCGAGGATTCGCAAAATAAATAAATCGGCACGACTAATCGTGGGAATTAATCTGATATCTGCAAAAGAAGCTGATACAAGATACGCAAAGTGTTAATTTCAATGTGATTGCAATCGCGCGAAGAGATCGCGACTGATACTCTTGGTATCAACGAATTTCGTATCTTCAGTTTATTATCGCAAGATTTCTAATGATAATTGAAGAGATCACATTAATACCGCAAATTTTGTTTATTGAAAAAGCGGAAGAAAGTGTTTTCCATCGCGAAAGAGAATTCAAACGTCAAATAGAAGTGACACACGTGTATTGATAATTGTTAGTTAACGTGTTAGTTAACTCGATAAGTCAATTGATCGTTTTATCCTGCTGATTCAAGTGGTGATTCGCGGCGAGTTAATGCCGTGTGTAAGGACTGATGGATTCAACGAAAACCAAATCGAAACCGAATCCAAGGGAAAAGGCGAACATTGTTTCGGTATTGCTATGGTGGTAAGTCGTAACTTCTCGAATAAATCGAACTTTATCAGGCTTTTCATGGGACTCCACGGATAAGGAGATAGTTAAATACGTTTAAATATTTAGATTAAAATATATTTAATATGCGGTTGGATATCTGTACACAGAGAGAATTTTTTCTTAAAATTTACCCTGAAAATCATGGTAATCGTGGGACAATATATGGTATTGGAAGAATTTTATAAAAGTTTTTCTGATTAATATTTACCACAATAAGATATAAAATATACTCAATTAATTTTGCTGTGTACATAGTAAATTTTACTATGTACATATTAATATTTTTTATTTTAGTAAATATTAATCGGAGAAACTCTTATAAAATTCTTCCAACACCATATTATCCCACGATTACCATGATTTTCAGGGTAAATTCTAAGAGAAAATTCTCTCCGTGTATATGCACTTTTAAATCTTCGCATATATCTATGTGTTAATATTTATGCATTAATATTTGGGTAAGATATTTCTGTTAAAGTAAATTGTTAATTACATTTATATTAAGATGAATTATTTATAATGATATTTCGAAATAATGCACAATGTGTGATAGTATGTAAGACATAAGATTGTTTTTTTGCATCAAATTACATCTTATCTTGTCACGCAAATTTATTTTGTATTAGAGAATGATATTGCATTTGTCGAGACAATATGACAAAGATAAAATGTCGTATCAGTCAAAAATGTTTCTTTTTCTTATAAAAGAAAAAAAAACATCCATCCTTCCTTCAATTTTGATTCTTTTGACTTTGCCATTTATTTTCATAATTATATCGTTTATCATTTAACATGTAATTTTTGCTATAAAAAATTCAATTAAAATGTTTCTCTCTTTCATCGAATTATCAGGTGGACCATCAGTTTATTCAAGACAGGCTACAGAAAAGTTCTAGAAACAGAGGACTTGTTTGATCCTTTGAAAGCTGATGAATCGGGTCTACTCGGAAATCGATTAGAAAAGTAAGTATCGAGTTCCAGCTCACAGAAAAGAAGAGAAGAAAAAATTTTCATGATCTATTTTTGTATACTTCTTCATTAAGACTCAATAATAATAATAATAACGCACAGGATACTTTTTTAGACGATGGAAAATCGAATTGGAAAATTCGAAAAAATGGGAGCGCAATCCGAGTTTGCTGAGGACCATTTTCCGCACATTCTTGTGGGAATACTCTATTCTCGGAATGATGACTATACTCAACGAATTTGTGATAAGGTATTATCGATTACACAATTGATTTTAGTAGAGTTTAACAAATGATTGATTTGGCCGTTAATAATATATTAATAATTATATAATTAAAGACCATCCTTTTTAAAGAGATAAAGTTAACGATAATAATTCGATTTAAGCTTTAAGATTAACTCTTCATATGCCAAAAATTAAAAAAGATTTAGATAAAATGATAATACTTCGAGTGACAGAAAAGCTACTTAAGAGATGTTGAAAAAATTTAGGATATGATATTTGAAATGCACGTGTCTTTCCACATCACGATAATGTAACGAAATTGAGTATAATAAAATAATACACATTAATGATTATTACATGTAATTATACTGTGTAATATTGTTCACTGATATTATGCAATCAAAGTTCTAATTAGAAGAATTTATAATTTTTATAAATCAAAAGTGTTTTTAATTTGGAAAGGAAACGTTTTCGAATGCATATTTTTTTCATTTTTATGGTGAAAATATGATCTTAAAATTTGGTGATTTATTTCTGGTTTGTCGACAGTTTTGCCTATATACAGGAGCTGGAGTGCAATCAAATATCTTCTCCGGTATTTTTCATTAAAAAAGAAAAAGAAATAGCAGATTCTGAAAGATTAAATGCAAAATTTGCAGGTTGGGCACGCCGTTGTTGCTAGGAGGTCTGTTACGCTACTTCCGGAAGGACTCGGTTGAATCATACGAGAATGCATTATGGTACGCAGCTGGAATATGCTTAGCCACCGGCATGAGCGTGTTAAGCGGCAATCAAGCCATTTTCGGAGCTTTTCACGTCGGCGCTAAAGTCCGGGTGGCCGTCTGCTCTGTGGTTTATAGAAAGGTCGGTTATTTATTTTTTTAGTTACTTAGAGAGATTACTTCATTTACTTAGAGAATTTATTTAGAAAGATCTGTTTAAAAATGCATATTTCGAAAATTGAAGATTAGATACAAAATCATATCTAAATAACAACGCTTTCTACACTTTATTCTGATTTGATTTATCAATTCTATAAAAATGAAGAAAAGTAGGAAAATATAATAAATAAAAAATATAACAAATATAATAAATAAAAAATAAATGAAAAAAAATATAATAAATAAGAATACATAATAAGAAGAAGAGAAAAATTGTAACGAGAAATATAAAACAAAAAAAAATCTTCTTCTACCAGTAATATCACAGATCTTTAATATTCATTTATTCGATACGTAAAATCAGCATATTACTGCTTGAATTATTTAACAGCGATTTACATTTGCCTTGTAGGCTCTCCGTCTGAGCACGACTGCGCTAGGCGAGACTGCACCGGGAAAGATAGTCAATTTAGTAGCCAACGATGTTAATAGATTCGATCTTGTGTCCATCTTTATCCATTACATGTGGTCGGCACCTTTGTCAGCTCTAATCGTGGCTTATATTTTATACCGGGAGGTCGGCTATCCCGGTCTCATCGGCATTGCCGCCATTTTCGTGGTTGTGCCAATCCAATGTGAGTTTCTCGTGCGATCACAATTTAATAAATCGTGTAAAAAAGTAGTTGTTCTTCCAATAAACCCTTCATCAAGTTTTCTAACAAGTTCTTCATTTATTCTCGCCATTTTAGCTTACACCGGTAAGCTATCATCCAAGTTCCGACTTCAGACGGCCATTAAGACGGACGAGCGAGTTCGTTTGATGGACGAGATCATTTCCGGGGTTCAGGTGATCAAGATGTACGCGTGGGAGAAGCCGTTTTGCGCGATGGTCGAGCTAGCACGTAAACTGGAGCTACGAGTGGTCACCAAAAGCTCGTATATCCGTGGCATCTACATGACCTTCAATCTCTTCACAACCCGGATGGCGCTTTACTGCACTCTCATCACCATACTGATGTTCGGTGATGAACTCACCGTCGACAAGGTCTTCGTCGTTTCGTTCTACTTCAACATGCTTGCGCAGACTATGACCGGCATGTTTGTGCGTGGCTTCGCCGAGCTGGCCGAATGTATGGTAGCTATACGCAGACTTCAGGGTTTCCTCTTGTTTGAGGAGTTCCAGGGTACCAACATCTCTAAACCGCCCTCCGAATACCCTAGCCTCGATTCAGATGTCAAGCAGACTGCAGCCCACAAGCAGGATCTGCCTTACATCGACGATGATGTCGCGGAGGGATATGAGAACTTGGACGAAAATAATGAGTCCAAAAGACGAAATGGATTAATGATTGTTGTTAGCGACTTGTTAAAGAATACTTACGACCTTATTGAGGGTGAGTTTGTCAAATCAGACATTATGTTGATGTACTGATCGAAATAAAGGAAATATAATATTAAGAAAATTATAATAGATGTTATCTAATTTTCTGGATAAATATTTTTTTTATGTTTCGTACATTGCAGAACTTTTTAAAGTGAGTAGTTGAGAAGATCTAAAATTTCGAAAATTTAAGAAAAATACACAAGTTTTTTTATTATATTTATAATGCAAAGGAGATATTTAAAATTACTTTAAATCATCTAATTATATTTTTTTAATATATATTTTAGATTAGAAAAAAAAAAGAAATTTATTTTAACATATAAAATTTCAAAAGACAGAGAATTTTTTATAATATTAACCCCCCATTTTTATTAATTAAAAAAAAATTTCTACAGTGCAGAATAAAGTTTTATTATTCGCAGAAAAGAAGCAAACATACAACAACGTGCACTGTGCCATCAACATAATCAACGTAACTGCCAAGTGGGAGGCTAAACAATCACTGAATATCTTGGAGGATTTAAATCTAGAGATTGAGAAGGGCAAGTTGTATGCTGTGATCGGAATGGTGGGCAGCGGCAAAAGTTCCCTTCTATCCGCGATTCTGGGTGAGATGAGCCTGACAAAAGGTCAAATCAGAGTCAACGGCAATATCAGCTATGCCAGTCAAGAAGCCTGGGTGTTCGGTGCCACTGTTAGACGAAACATACTCTTTGGACAGCCTTACGAACGTCATCGATACCAGAAGGTGGTTAAAGCTTGTGCCTTATTGCGTGACTTCAAGCAGTTTCCGCAGGGTGATCAGACCATCGTGGGCGAACGTGGCAGCTCACTATCTGGTGGACAAAAGGCCAGAATCAATCTGGCCAGAGCCCTGTACAGACAGTCGGACATCTACCTATTGGATGATCCTTTGAGCGCGGTAAGCAACTTTCAGAAGGTTCAGTCATTTATATTCTTTTCATGTATTTCATTCTATTCATATAATAATATAATTATACAAAATTCATAGCCTGCAAGTGCGGATTTTTAATGACTTTTCTTTCAATTCTATAAATCTTAAAATCAATGTAATAAGTAATAACAAAAATGACAACAATAATAATAAGAATATTTAATTTTTTCTAATTAATTTCTGAAATTTGAATTTTTTTGATTTTTTCTTCTTAAAATAAATTTATTAATAAATTAAGAAAATAAATTGCACAGACAAAATTAAGTTAATTTCGAATTTTGATAATTTAAGGAATTTATCACGTGGTAAAATTTTAGGTCGACGCACACGTCAGCAAACATCTGTTTCATGAATGCATTCAAAGATACCTAGCAGGGAAGACGAGGATCTTGGCGACGCATCAATTGCAATATATAAAGGGAGTGGACGCCATTATATTGCTTGAACAAGGAAGAATAAAATACTTTTCGCATTATCAAGATTTACTGGAGAATCATCCAGAGTACGGAGTACTCTTAGCAGAAGAGAATGAAATCGATGATTCGTCTCTAGAAAAGAGCATGAACATAAGGCGAAAATTTTCCTGTATTAGTAACCGAGTAAGTAAAAATATTAATATTTATAACATATTACGAACAGATAAAGAAATGTTTTATGCAATTTTTATTCTTTCTAAACTTGAACTTAAAATCATTTAAAAAATATATATGTTTTTACAGTTTTGAACGTTTAATGTTTCCATATTGTATTTAATGTTATTTAATAATGAATAAAAAAAAAAAAAAAAAATATGTTTCTGATAGCGAAATATTTATTCGCCAGAGTCGTACTCCGGAAATAAGCAGTGGCGGTACAGATGACGAAGAAGAAGACGAAGATAAGGAGGAGTTAAACAATGGTCTCGAGGCGACGTCACGTGGTATAGTTAAAGGCCCTATATTTATCAAATTCTTCCAAACTGGAGCCAATTTATACATGGCTTCCGTCGTTCTATTGCTATTCATCATCACGCAATTTATTGTCAGTCTCAACGACTATTTCATGCCTTACTTGTAAGTGTCTAATTAAAAAAAATCAATTTACTCAACATGTTACATTTCTTGCTTCATATTTTCTAAAATATTTCTCAATTTTCTGAAATTTTGAACATACCCATCTTTTTTATTAGAGAGTAATTCTTTTAATTTATTTCCAGAGTCAATATTGTGGAAACGCAAAGGTATATGGCCAAACTTCACAGATTGAATCAAACGAATGACACTTTCGAGAACATGGCGACAAATCATTCCGATAGTATTCGCTCTGACGAGGAGGACGATTTGTCGTCGGTGATGAGTTACATCTACATCTACACAGCCATCGTGTTAGGCATTTTCGTTGTTGGTATCATGAGATCGCTGGTCTTTTACAAGACGTGTATGACTTGCAGCCAGCGTCTGCACGACATGATGTTCAGCGCATTAATTCGCACAGGAATGCGATTCTTTGACACTAATCCCAGCGGTAGAATCTTAAACCGGTTCTCCAAGGACATGGGCACTATCGATGAGTTGTTACCCAAAGCGTGCTTGGATGCCGGGCAGATGAACATGATGATGATAGGTTCGCTGGTACTCACATGTATAGTCAATCCCATCTGTTTGGTGCCCATCCTGTTTATCAGCCTAATATTCTACTGGATCCGCAAAGTTTATCTCAAGACCAGCAAAAACGTCAAGCGGTTAGAAGGAATGGGTATGTGTTTGTGCTCTCTCTCTTTTTCTTATTTTTCCAGCTACTAAAAACCCTTCAATTATATTAAATCGAGAATCAGAGTATTTTTCATTATGTCTTTATAGAACAAAATGTTTTCAAAATGTTTTTGTTGTTTAATCATTTTTAAATTTGAATATTTTAATTTATAAATGCATTTTCTCAGACTTTTATGACCGTGGAATATTCTTTTGCGTTTCAGCACGGTCGCCAGTATTTACTCACTTAAATGCGACATTGAATGGTTTAACAACTATCAGAGCGTACTGTGCTCAAAATATACTCAAGCAAGAATTCGACAAGTTACAGGATATACACACGTCTACAATTTACATGTATATCGTGACTAGTACGGCGTTCGGATTTACTCTGGATGTATTCTGTTTCATTTTCATTTCGCTCCTCACCTTCAGCTTTTTGCTATTCAGTCAATGTAAGTAATCAATTTTCCTTAATCAATCTCTGAAATTTATTTACAAACACACTTCCTTTTTTTATAGAACTTTGATTTTATTTTATTTTAGAGAATTATCTTTATTTTAGAAATTTTTAATAAATTCTGCTTATTCGGTCTATAACAAAATTTTTTATCTCCTAAATAAATATTGAATATCGTTGATGAGAAAGTATGCATTTCTGTTTATCATAAATAGAAGAAGACGAATTAGTAGAGTTAAAGAAATTATTGTTTATATATATTTCAGCATTTTCCGGTGGCGAAGTTGGATTGGCTATCACTCAGGTGATGGGAATGACCGGGATAATACAGTGGGGAATGCGGCAGAGTGCCGAGGTGGCAAATCAAATGATGGCAGTGGAACGTGTGCTCGAATACGTCCAACTTCCGGCAGAATCAAATCTGAGGGACAGAGGAAAATACTTGAAGAAGAAAGAAAAGGAATCTCTAGCATTGCCAGACAATACACCCAAAGGCTGGCCCGCAAATGGTTGCGTCGTATTCAAGGATGTTTTTATGCGTTATGCGGACGAGGAACTGCCTGTTCTTAAAGGCTTGAACATAATAATCCATCCCGGGGAGAAGGTACAAGAATTTTATGTTAAAAATATTAGCGTGATAATATAACACATTCTACATTTTACAATCTAGAGATTTTTGCAAAAATAGATGATTGAAAAAAATTTACTTCAAAAAACTTAATTCTCAAAGAAATCAGAATACTAAAAAGATTTTTTACGAGAAAAGATATTCTACAAAAGAAAAATAATAATTAAATAAGAGAAAATATTTCTTGTAGCTGAAAAGCTGCAATTTTAATCTTCAAAAAATGTAGTATATTTTCTTAATCCTCCCAAATTTTTAGCGAAATAAAAATAAATATAAAAATAATTTATATTTCAATATAAAGAAATTAAAAATAATTAAGATGTTTTGCAAAACAATTATCACATAGGTTGGTATCGTGGGAAGAACAGGCGCTGGAAAATCATCACTGATAGCAGCTCTGTTTCGATTGGCGAAAGTGGAGGGAATTATTGAGATCGATGGGACAAACACTGGTTTGATCGCCTTGGAGGATTTGCGACGTAAAATATCCATCATCCCTCAAGATCCTGTATTATTCTCAGGCACTTTGAGACGTAATCTGGATCCTTTCGACGAATTCCCCGATAATGATTTGTGGGAAGCGCTCGAAGAGGTTCGTCAACTACTTTACTTTATGTCAAGTATTTAAAAATACTTGACATTGAATAATTACCAATATATTTTATATTGCTTAATAATACATCTATTTTGCAATATATTTCAGGTTGAATTGAAAGACGCGGTCGGAATTAACGGAAATGGTTTAAACAGTCGCGTGTTTGACAGAGGCAGCAATTATAGTGTCGGTCAAAGGCAATTAGTATGCTTAGCGCGAGCCATTCTGAGAAACAATCGTATACTGATGCTGGATGAGGCGACTGCGAATGTTGATCCACACACCGATGCTCTTATCCAACGCACCATCAGAAAAAGTTTGCGACTTGTACAATGCTTACAGTGGCGCATCGATTAAACACTATAATGGACAGCGATAAAGTTCTGGTCATGGATAAGGGTCGTATGGCTGTAAGTACGGCTTATCCCTTGAAAACAATAATCTATTTGTTCAATTTCTTTCTTCTCAAAATCTCAGACCAAGTGTCTATTTATAAATTTTCGTCATATTCGCTTTACTATACAACGCGAAATACAAATGTATCTAGTTATTCATCATTTTTTAGTCATCATATTTATTTTAAAATATTACCGAAATATGATTTATTCTCTTTATTCTTTAGTAATAGAAATGAAAGATGGATATATAAATTATAATTTGGTGGTGATTTTTTTCACAGGAATACGATCATCCTCATATATTATTGCAAGACTGCTACAGTCAATTCACGTCGTTAGTAAGAGAAACCGGTTCAGGTATGTACGATCAACTCGTCAAAGTAGCTAAGCAATCGTACTTAGATAAATATGGAGAAACATGACAAAGCATTGGTATATTTTTGCAAGGAAATCTTTGTTAATTGATTTTTTCAAATTTCCGCTTTTTAAATTCAATCGAGGTAAAATTAGCATATCGTTTAACGTCTATGATATACTTTTAATGTATATATACAGAAAATCTCAAAGCAGAAAATTTCACTTATATTATTTCTACAATAGAGCTGGTATTGTTGTATATGTATGTCTTTCTTCTTCGGAACATTTTTATGTAGACACGATACTTCTCCTAAGTATTGTAATACGCGATGTTAATGCAAATTTAGAGCGTTTACAGAGATTCATATTTTTATATGTCATATATATAGATATATTTAATTATCGTTTTGTTAAATTATTTTCATTGAAATGTCAAGTTCTTCCATATAATAATGAAAGCCACAGTACTATTATATTTTTTTTATTCTAATGGTAAGGTTTCATTTACTTGAAAAAATCATAAATATTTCTAAATCTTTTATGATGAAGTGAGTGTATATCAACTAAGAATTAATTGTATTAATCCTTAGATAACGCAAAGTTTATTCTGAAAACATAGATTTATATAAGATAATATTTGCACACTCTAAACATTTGATTGCTATCTCAACATTCAGCTGACGTATACTTTGAATCGTAAGAAATTTTGTTTAAAAATTGGAAGGTAACATTGATTTAACAATTTAAACAAATTAATTTTATTGAAGCCAATAAATTAGGTCGGAAAGAGCTTAAATGGCACTATATGCTTTCAAATAAAATTATATCGATTTTTCTCTTAATTTATGATCATTTCCTCAGCAAAAGTAGCATAGCGTATTTAAATATTTATAGTTCACGATGTCGCGAATATATATAATTATATAATTGACGTACGAATAAATATTCCGAACTAAATTAGATACTTAATGAATCAATATACTTAATTTTTGTACTTGTTAATGTTACAAACTTGTAATCGTACGCAATTTGTGTTACTACTTTTATAAAGAATAGAGAGCTCAATATTTTTGTACACTGCAGTTGCTGATGCAATCTACATTATTATGGTGAAAGTATCGATATAATATTAATAAATATTGAAGAAAGTTCGCGCGTAAGTAATATATAATGTACTATATTTTTATATTACACATAACAAGAGTTATATTATTAATATTGAAATAATATAGACAAAATATATTACAAGTATAACTCGCGCTATTACACGTATCTCATTTTATAAAATATAGAGACTGCGTTTGTCAAGCAAGTTTAATACATAAATATATAAATTTAAAATATATATTTTTATATTTATTTAATTGTATAAATATATAAATATAATATATATATTTTTTTATATTTATATATTTATTTTACGAAATGATTAGAAATATATCTGTTAATATATATATTTATACTCGTAATTAATCATTTTTATGTATTAGATGAGCTCAGGTTTGAGAAGTGATTTTTACAAATTACTTCATTGTTAATATCTTATACATACTCAGAACTTTTCCATCTTATTGCATGATTAATTATACAAATTCTTCCGCGCTGTGTTATAAAGTATATATATGTTAAATAAATATATATTGTACAGTAAATTGTTAAATAGTAATTAAGTAATTAGTATAGTAATTATAAGCTTATACGATAAGCGTGTAAAAAATATTGCATACATATAAAATATTGTATATAAATAAACCAAAGTACAACAAAATATATAAGAAATGTAAGAAAATATTGCAGTAATTTACTGTTCTATTATTTATAATACTATTCTGTTGTATTCTACTTCCTATTATTCAAATTTGTCTTTTTTACAAAAAGTTATACAAAAAATACAATCAATTAATGCAAAAATCAATTATGAGATTGAAAAATTATTTAAACTTATATATATTTTTGCAAAAGTTAAAATATAAAAATATTAAAGTTATAAAAAAAATATAAAAATATTAAAGTTATAGCAAAAATATAAAAATTATAAAAATTTAATTTAAAAACACTTGATTTAAGAAAATATTTATTATAGAAGTCAGCTCTAGAAATGAAAAAAAAATATATATATATGTTAATTAGTAATGTTTATACGATGACAATTAACATTCTTATATACGAGTATCGTTATCAGTGATGCCTGAAGGTAATATGAAAAGCAACAAAACAGAATGATTCCAGTAAAGAATTGACTTTCGGAAAGTAAGTTTCGAAGACAAGTGGATAAAGCTAACGAGAGAATATTAATTATTCTAATTCTTTTTCGACGGTATTAAGCGTTACCGAATCTTGTAAGATATTTGAAATTTTAAGATTTTTAATAGTGCGAGAATATGAATAAGGACGCAACTTGCCCGAAGCAGAATCCTAAGGAGACTGCGAATATCTTTAGTCGTATATTTCTCTGGTTCGTATACATTTCATATAACATTTCGAATATATTTTTAGCAAAGAAATGTGAAGTATTTTATTCTTTTTTACAATCAAAATTTTACTTTTTACTAGAAAGGGAACGTTTATAACAAAGAAGATTTATAAGGAGGACTTATTAAGGAAAAAAGAAAACAATAATTTAAAAAAAACTTTTTTGTTTTATTCTTTATGAAAATAAACATTCTTATTTTAAAAGAGTTTTTTGGTTTTTGAAAAGAAAATTATTATTCTGTTGAAATAACGAATAATTTTATCATTTTAAACAAAATAAAAATCTTTGTTTCTTTTTAAGAGAAAATTTCTTTTTCTTTGAGAAAATATTTTTTCGATTATGTAATGTTATATTATATATTTTCTATGTTTTACACATATTAAGTTTATTTTAGATAATCTATAATTTACAATAAATATATTAGAATAAATTTTTATTTATAATTTTATGTATAACTGTTACAGAAAATTTGAAGTATAAAATGCACACAATATATTGTATATCAAGATATACATATATATGAAATACACATTAGGACTTTAGAATATATAATACATAAAATTATAAATAAAATTCTATCGTGAATTTTGTTGAAAATTGTATAAGCTGTCTAAAATAAATGATTTTTACTTTGCAATACATTTTATATTACATCAATTGAAAATGATATAACGAGTTATTTCGTGCGCGCGCGTAAATAAGAAATCAGCAGAATTTACATTATGTAATTTGTGTTTAGTCATGTTCTTATCATTTTTGTACACGTCAGTTTTACTTTAATGAACTTATATGTGATACTTAGATTATAACATTTTAAACTGAATATATGAACCACTACACATTATCATATCGCATTGTCCTTGTATCAAAAGTAATTTTTCCTACGTTTTAAGAAAACTGTACTTAACTAATCGATTGTAGTTAAAATAAACGATAGAAATATAAAATATATGTATTATTATAGAATATTTATAAATTATTTGCAATTTATGCGTTTAACGCATCCGTAAAATATATAAATATTTCAAAATTTTTATTTCCCGTATATAATTGTCATTATTGATAAAATATATTTCAAATTATTATTTCTTTATTTTCTTCAAATATGTATATATGTATATTTTAAAATAGTCTAAAATAGGAACGTGGAGCTAATTTTACATAAAATATACATTTATGTAAATAAATTTCTCTTGAAACACTTATATGGCAATTTTTTCTAGAGCTTTATGTCATTATCTTTGCATCACAGAGTTTACCTTAAAGTAAAATTTATGTCTTACTGTTTTGCAATGTGCGTACAGGTGGACGCTAGACTTATTTATAAAAGGTGCGAAGACTGATTTGGACGAATCTGACATTTATCAACCTTTAAAAGAAGATGAATCTGAAAAAGTCACAGATCATCTCGAAAAGTAAGTATTTTCTGTTTTTATTAAAGCATAAATATAAACCATACGTTAAAAAAATGAATAATTTCATAAACTTTTTTATCGTGAATTAACAACTTTAAAATCATAAATAATAACTCGTAAATTAACAAAAGTCGATTCTAGATATTAATAAATTATGATAAACGCGTTTTCTGAGACCAACTATGTTGCAACAATTTTTCGAATTGATTGTATCAATTTTCCAAGACGATATTATAGGATAAAAGTACCGACTATGAGATTACCATTTACATTTTCTTAATTATTTCCAAAATATATGTAATTAGGAAAGTATCTAATATATACTGTTTTTAATCGTCATTTCATGTAGTTTTAGAAATCCTACTTCAATAAGTTATATCTCGTTCAAGTTTTAATATACATAGGTTTGATTAAAGTAAGTCAGTTTTTGTATCAAAACCAAAAGATCTCCTAATATGAGATATTAGCTTATCTTAATATGAGATACCGCCTTTTATTAGATAAACTTAATTTCATTTTTATTAACACTAAAAATAAAAGACATAGATAAAAGTAAATGGTTTTATTATTACCTGTCTTAATTTGAAATCTTTTACAGTATTATATTTTCAGAACCAACAATAAAATTTAAAAATATAGCTTTAATTATATTATTTATTAAACTTATTTCCTAAACTCTTATATCAAAATGTCAAAAATATGAAGGTAGGCACTTATACTTTAAATTAAACGAAAAACTATCCTTAGAATAGAAAAATAAAATAAAAACAAAACCAAAAAAAATTTTAATTTTTAAATTTTAAAAATTTTTAAATAAATTTTAAAATTAATTATAATTAATTATTAATTAATTAATTAATTAAAAGTTTTAAATTAATTTTAAAATTTATTTAAAATTTTTAAAAATTTAAAAATTAAAATTTTTTTTGGTTTTGTTTTTATTTTATTTTCTATTCTAAGGATAGTTTTTCGTTTAATTTAAAGTATAAGTGCCTACCTTCATATTTTTGACATTTTGATACGCTATCTCATATTTAGAACCTATCTCATAATCGGTACCTTTACCCATCATCTTTCTTTAAGGGTAAATTTTTCTCTTTAACAGAATTATTATTAAAAATTCTATAAAAGTATTAAGAACTTGATAAGCTTCATAAGATTTTTGTTTAAGATTTAATACATACATTTAACACATCTATAACTTTAAGATACAAAAATAATTACATAAAATACGAAAATAATTAAAATATTTTTTAATTGTCTTTTAAATTATTTTAAAATTTAAATGCCTAACATTTTATCGCGTTTGTTTAGATACTGGAATCGCGAATTGGAAAAGCTAAAGAATTTGGAATTTACTGTGAGCAAAGACGGACAGAAAGTGCCGTTGAAAAAGAATGCTCGTCCAAGGCTGTACAAGGCACTTTTCCGCGCCTTCTGGTTGCCATATGCCATGATCGGAATTTTCTTATTTAGCCAGGTGAAACATTAATAATAACCGAATGATAGCAATATCTATGATTTATGTAAAATTAAAAAGTCAGTCACACGTCATGTATCGTCCGTCTTAATGGCATCACTATTTTTAATATGAAAAATTATTTCTTTCGAGATTAATAAAAGTTACACGTTAAAAATCTATGTAAATATATATACATAATGTGGAACATTAATTGTAATGCGCGTCCCTGTTTTCAGGTATGCGTGTTGCGCCTTTTCATACCGATTCTGCAGGGTTGGATCATTAACTACTTCAGCAGTGAATCGAAATCGACGGAGCAGAAAAACGAAACAATGATTTATATTGCCTGTTTAGTCTTTTGCAGTTTCATTAACTCTATATCGGCAAATCACATCCAATTAATGTCGCAACAAGTCGGCATGAGATTACGTGTTGCCTGCAGTTCCCTCATTTACAGGAAGGTAAAATAATTTTTAACTCTCAAATCGAATGATTCACGAATTTTTGTTACAAAAAGATATGAAGAATCTGCTCTTTCTGAAAACTAGCGTATTCAGGTCCAATTTCGACTATAATTTTTATTATAATCTGCGTAACGTATTTCTATCTTAAAAAAATTTGATTCAGAAAATCGATTCGATAAATCATCGATGTAATAAAATTTTTGTAAAATCGAAAGACATTAATTTCACTGCTAAAAAAATTAATTTAAATGAATTTTCTTCGATTTTTAAAAAGTGAGTTGCTGTTTACATTGAAATTATAATATTCACACAATTATATTTATATATGTATATTTGATGGCAAGTCATATGTACTTATTATTAATCATTACCTATAAATTTATTTTCTACATTTTATATCAAAATAATATATAATTCACCGTCATTGATACATAATTATTAATGCACATAATCATAAATTACAACATATAAGTATTAATCATTCATCAGTATATAATATCTTGTCTTTCTTGATTTTTGGATGCCTACTCTGTCTTGTTGAAATCTCTGCGATTTTGCAAATTCTCGTAACACGCGAATGCAAAGTCATTGAGAACAAAACAGCGCAGCATCGTTAACAAAAATAACAAGCATGTATTAGCTTCTGCATTAAATGTATTCTTCGACTTTTATTGATAACGTTTGACATTTGATATACAGTAACGTGCTGAAATCTTGTGAATATGTATGAAAGAATACCGTATTTTTTAAACACATGTATGTATGTACATATGCTTTAAACATATTTGTCTTGCAAAACATAACAAACTGCAAGTAGAAAAAAATACTGACAATAAAAAAAAAGTACAAATTTTTCGGTTGTAACCCAGGTAGCACATGATCATTTCAGAAACTCTTCTTAAACGTATCTATATAGTTTGTTAACCGTTTAAGCATCAATAAAAAATGTTTTGACAAAACGTTTTTAAAATTATAATTTAAGAAATGTTTCTTTGACACGTGTAAATCACATTATCTCAACAGCACGAAATATTATGCTACCTAGGAATAAAAATGTTTTCTTACTTGCAGTTTTTACTCGCGAATCTATTTTTTTATTATTCGCGAACGATATTATAATATATTAAATAATTCAAGAATTAATAAGAAAATAATTATTATTGACTTGTAAATTAAAGTAAAAGTTTAAGCTAAATTTAATGACACAGCTCAATTTTTGAAATAAAATACTAATTCATAAATGGTATGTAATTAGTTCATGTTTACATAAAGATAGCTCTTTGAGGAAAATGAGCTTGACAGTATGAAAATAGAAAATCTTGATTTGCATATCAATAATAAATTCTGTACTTTTTTTGAAAATTATTGCAGACATTGCGGTTAAATCAAACATCTTTAAGCCAAACTGGTGCTGGACAGATTGTAAATCTTCTCAGCAACGACGTCAATCGTTTCGATCTATTAACAATGTTTCTGAATTATATATGGCTTATGCCTATTCAGGTAACGTGTTATTTAGCAAAAAGTATATTAATTTCTTTATATAAATTATTAATAAAATTGATTCGCTTGTTATATTTTATAAAACACATATACATTTATTTCTATTTATATATACTTATCAAACTTAATTTCGTTGAGCTATACAAATAAAAATAACATGTAAATTCATGTCATAACGTAGCATATTTATGTATATATTTACTATTTTTCTGAACACTATCTTATTATAGAGTATACAATTTATTAATATAGAATTATCTGTTGAAGTTACTAATTTTTCTTTATTTTCCAGATTTTAATCGTGGGATACATAATGTGGCAAAAAATCGGTATCTCTTTTCTTGTTAGCATCGGATTACTGTTGATTATCTGCTTACCGATTCAGGGAACCTTCAGTGTGTTAAGTCGTGACATTAGAGCTAAGATCGCGCCATTAACTGATCGAAGGGTGCAGTTGATGAATGAGCTAATAGCCGGGATACAGGTATTTTTATGGAATCTTATACGCGCTATTTTATTTTTAAACGACCTATTCTCGGATACCTAAAGATATTAATTCTCCTTACAGTTTTAAATAAATTTTACTAATTAAAAATTTTATATAAGAGAATTTTAGATTTTGCCAAAAATGTTTACTCTTATTTTTTTAGGTGATAAAAATGTATGCCTGGGAAAAACCATTCAGCAAGATTGTATCGATGACGAGAGCGCTGGAAATCAAGAAGATTAAATTCTCGTCATACGTGCGGGCTGCATATCTGGCCATTATAGTGTTTACCGAGAGGCTTCTCCTTTACTTTACCTTAATGACGTTCGTATTATTGGGAAATAATATGAGCGCAGATGTGACTTATGTTCTGGCGACATATTTCAATATTCTACAACTCACCGCGGCTTGTTTCTTCCCGCAAGCCATTATAATATTAGGCGAAACGATGGTGTCTTTGAATCGATTGGAGGTATCTTATATTCTTCTATTTTTCGCCCTTACATATTTGCTTAATGATTAATGAAGTCTTCGACACGCAGGATCTTTTAATGATGGACGAAGTGAATATGGAACACTTCAAGGAAACATCGCATTTGCAAATTAAAGATAAAAAATTCAACAAAGTGGTCGCTATGAATAATCAAGCGGACATCTTCAACAATAAAACTTCCGAGCAAGAATCCTACTCCAACTGTCCAGTTTGCGTGAAGCTTTATCACGTCTCAGCAAACTGGATCACCGGTCAACTGCCACCGACATTGTGCAACATTTCAACGATTATTGAGCCGGGCAAGCTGTGTGCCCTGGTCGGTCCAGTGGGATCTGGCAAATCTTCCGTGCTTCATCTGCTGCTAAAAGAGCTGAACCCCGGTGCAGGTTCCGTTATTTTCACGCAAGACTCGTCGCAAAATATTTTTCGCAATAAAATGCTTAGCGGTTATCTCATGGACAACCCAAATCTGCGGATCTCCTACGCTGGACAAGAACCCTGGCTCTTCGGAAGCACCGTGAAGGACAATATTTTATTCGGTCAAGCCTTCAACAGGGTCAGATACGCTGAGGTAATTGTCAACTTTATATATTTTTTCAATCCTTTCGGTCATTAAAGAGATCATTGACAAGATGAAGAATTTTTTCTCTATTTCTACACGAAGAGAATTTTCTCTTAAAATTTACCCTGAAAATCATGGTAATCGTAACATTTAATATTTACCACAATAAAAATATTAATATGTATCACAATAAAAATATTAATCAGAGAAACTCTATATAAGATACTTCCAATACCATATTATCGCACGATTACCATGATTTTCAGGGTAAATTCTAAGAGAAAATTCTCTCTGTGTAGGCTTCCTGATAATCTTTGATATTCTGTAATTCGAACTATTGTTGGTTTTAGGTGACAAAAGTATGCGCATTGATTAAGGACTTCCAACAGTTTGCGCAGGGAGATATGACGATAGTTGGTGACAGGGGAGTGTCCCTTTCTGGAGGTCAAAGGGCACGAATCAATCTCGCGAGGGCGGTTTACAGGCAAGCTGATCTTTATTTGCTCGACGATCCTTTGAGCGCGGTGGACACTCATGTCGCCAAACATTTGTACAAAAAATGTATCACCGAGTATCTCCGCGAAAAGACGAGGATTCTTGTCACCCATCAATTGCAATTTCTAAAACGTGCAGACCACATTATCGTGCTGGACCGGGTAAGTGTCTAGTTAAATATTTCGGAATCAGCATTTTGATCTTTCTTTATTATTTAGGATGTTGATTTTGTTGACGGTTAAATCTTTTTACAAAAGCTGTTTTATTTTGCTCTTTGCTTAAAGGGTTTCGTAAAAATGCAAGGAAGCTATAAAGACCTGGTAGAATCAAACAAAGATTTTATTGAGATGATGGATAACTTAGCGGCAAGCCATGAAACTCAAAAGCAAGAGGACAACGCGAGAAGAATCTCGGAAATGTCTTCGAGCAACGTGATATTTAGACGTCCTTCGCAATTATCGGTCACAAGCTCTGTCGTTGTAAGACAATCGTTATCATTCGTTGACTCATCATATTTTCTATTTTCTATTCTATTGTTTTTGTTAAACAAAAATTGACTCACAATATGAGATTAATAATTAAAAGTGTATATATATAAATATTTTCGCACAGCTATAATATATTAATTACCGAAAACGTTTAATATATATTTGAGCATTAAAACATTATAATAAAAAATCTAAGAAATTTAAGGTTTACGATTTGTACACAGAGAGAATTTTCTTTCAGAATTACCCTGAAAATCATAGTAATCATGAGACAATATACTGGAAAAATTTTATAAGAGTCTCTGATTAATATTTGCCACAATAGAAAGTATTAATATCTACACAATAAGATAGAAAATATGCTCAAATTTACTCTGTACATATTAATATTTTTTATTGTGGTAAATATTAATTAAAGAAACTTTTATAAAATTCGTTTAATATCATACCACAATTGCTATGATTTTTAGGGCAAATTCTAAGAGAATTCTCTCCGTGTAATTTTGCGCAATCGCTTTTATTAAATTGGTTCGTTTTTGCAAAAATTATTCGTGCAAATAATTTCTTTCTGCGTAGTGTTCGGAAGTCATCGATTCGGACTACATGGAAAACAATCAGGAAGGTGAAGCGATGCTGAGTGGTCGAGTATCCGGCAAAGTGTACAGAGAATATTTGCATTACGGCGGCAACTACTTTGTTCTATTTCTGCTGTTGTTTATATTCATCATCAGCCAGATAGCTACCACTGGCAACGATTACTGGGTTTCGTACTGGACTAATATGGAGCAGTTGAGGCAAAGCATAGGCACTCCCGACGCCGAAAAGATCAGTGAAAAATACATGTATATGCGCAACGACAGTTTCCTGGCGTCGATCTTTACGTTAAATTCTGACGGTCTGATTAGCACCGTAGATGCTATATACGTTTATACAGCCTGTATTCTCATTTGCACCGTCACTACGCTGCTCCGCAGTTTCCTCTTTATGAAGATCTGCATGAACTCGAGCATCAATCTGCACAACACTATGTTTTCCAATCTATTGCAAGCGCGCATGTCCTTCTTCCATACTAATCCTTCCGGTAAGTGCAGCGATGAGATGAATCAAGAAGAATGATATAAACAAGGAAATGTGTTACATAAGAAATCTTTCTTATTTGACACATTTACTTGTTTATATCATTCTTTCTAAATTATCTAATTTTATGATAATTTTAGGATTATGATTGAATTTGAAAATGAAAAGATGGAAACATTTTCTTTTAAATTTTACAAATATTATCATTATTATAATGATATCTTATTATGTATAATAGAATTTTAATCCAACAAATTTTTTTATTGCGCTTTATTTCCGCGCTTGGCTCTTATTAGTTATTCCTCTCTCGATGATTCTTATGACTTTTTATTCGCATTAGAACAAAATGTGATGATTGACAGAAATTAATCTCGAGTTGTGTATTTGCAGCATTACAAGAAATTATAATAATTAAAATAATTATTATATATAATACTTTTATTCCTCGAAATCAAATTATATATATTTTATAACTTTTATATTTTCATGATTTCTCTTTCTTAGATATCGTTTAGAGATATGTATAACTTAAAAATTTGTTTTAGGACGAATATTAAACAGATTTTCAAAGGACATTGGCACAATAGACGAACTGCTACCCAAAATATTGTTAGAAGCACTTCAACTGAATACCGTTTTAATTGCTATATTAATTATGGATGTCATACTTAATAAATGGATGATAATATCGATAGTAATAGTGGCTATTTCATTTATTCTGATGACAAAATTCTATCTCAGAACCGCTCAAAGCATGAAACGCCTCGAAGGAATAAGTAAGTATTCAGAGAAGTATCCATCCCCATTAAAGCAAAAGAGTATTTTATTTTTCTTAGATTTCTCTTGATTTTCTCAAATTTTTAAATCATTTTTAAATTTGAAGTTCTCTCATAACTTTCATAATTTAGAATTTTTAAATTCCATTAAACATTAATGTATCTGAATTCTGAACATTTTTGGAGCAGATATACAAACTATAAAGTATTTATGTTCGATATAACTTGATTTTCAGCCAAGAGCCCGTTGTTTTCACACATAAACGCCACATTAAATGGTTTGCCGACAATCAGGAGCCACGGTGCTGCTATCGAAAAAATGATGCGAAAAGAATTCGACGCGTTGCAAAATACTCACAGCGGTGCGTGGTATCAAATTTTGGCATGCACGACTGTCTTCGGTCTCATTCTGGACACAATCGCGTGCTTATTGATCGTCAGTCTCTGTTATTCTTTCATACTGATAGATGAAACTGGTACGTAACTTATCTTTGATTTTAATTTCGGAATATTCAATAGTGCAACGTTACATTATTCACGTGTTTTTTTATTTTTGAATGCAGGATTATTTTATTAATATTTTTTATATTAACCATTTTCTTTCATTTTTAAGTTTTTTTCATTAGCAATAATATTAATTACGTAACAAATGATGAGATAATAATCATTAAATGTCTACAATTCTTCTATTATTATTACAGTATCTTGTAAAAATTTCCGCATATTTTATAAATTTTTCTCGTTAATTTTCAGACAATGTATCCGGCGGCGACGTAGGTCTGGCAATTTCTCAATCACTGATTCTGACCGGCGCTCTGCAATATGGCGTTAGACAGATAGCCGAGACTTTCTCGTTGATGACGTCTGTAGAAAGAATCTTTCAGTATACAAATCTTCCCGCAGAATCAACTAATGTCTCGGATCCTCCTCCTCCGCCCACGTGGCCATCTCAAGGAGGATTAACGTTCAAGAATGTCAGCCTAAAGTACAACGAAAACGATCCGTGTGTCTTGAAGGTGTGTGAAGCAATTATACTTTATTGCAATTTAATGCACGCGCATATATACTTCATCCATTCCATTTCACTTTCTAGAACCTAAACGTGTCCATCGAGCCTGGTTGGAAGGTCGGTGTTGTAGGACGAACTGGTGCCGGCAAATCTTCATTGATCTCCGTTCTCTTCCGACTGTTCGACGAAGGTTTGATGGGTGAAATCAAAATTGATGGCCGAGACACGAGCACGGTAGATCTGCAGGAATTGCGCTCCAAGATCTCCATCATACCTCAGGAACCAGTGCTCTTCTCCGAGAGTTTACGCTACAACCTGGACCCGTTCAATCAGTACGACGATGTGAAGCTGTGGGAGGTGCTTCGGATGGTCGAGCTAAACGAAGTCAGTCTGAACCACAACGTTCTCTACGGTGGCCAGAACTTCAGCGTCGGTCAAAGGCAGCTCATATGCTTAGCCAGAGCGATCTTGAGGAATAATCGCCTGCTCGTCCTCGACGAAGCTACGGCCAACATCGATTCGCAGTGAGTCTCGAAAGGTTTCTTTTGGCGATTTTTAGCCAGTTTGTAATAATAAGCTTTTAGATATTGTCTCTTAAAGCGGCTTAAAAATTAATTGGAAAAATAATTTTGTTTAATTAAATATCAAGTTTGATAATATCGGAAGTTTTGGAATCGAATTAGATCTTCAGCAAAGATCTATAGATACTAGATCAATAAACAAGCAATTTGTTGAATTCAATACTCTTTTGCGATTATTTTAAATTGATATTTTCGTTTGCAGCACCGATGCCTTAATTCAAAATACGATAAGAAGCAACTTTAAAGATTGTACTGTCATCACGGTAGCGCATCGTTTGAACACAATTATAGATAGTGACCGTATCATCGTGATGGAAAACGGATACATCGTGGTACGTATTCAATATGTTTAAGTGTAGAAAAGTATGAGAAAAAGATATTGATTTTATAAAAGATTCAACGTGGCGTTTATATGTAAAAACAACGGACTCTCGGCTGAAAACCAAGTTATATCGAACATAAATACTTTATAGTTTGTGTATCTGCTCCAAAAATGTTCAGAATTCAGATACATTATTGTTTAATAGAATTTAAAGATTCTAAATAAAAAAATGTACAATAATTCTTCTTTCGAATTTTCTTTTAGCATTTTTATCCTGAAAATCATAATAATCGTTGGACAAGAGAATATACTATTGTAAGAATTTTATAAGAGTTTCTCTGATTAATATTCACCACAATAAGATATAAAATATATTCGATTAATTTTACTATGTACATAGTAAAATTTAGTACATATTAATATTTTTTGTTATGCGAAATATTAATCAGAGAAATTATAAAATCCTTTCAATACTATATGGTCTCATGATTACCATGATTTTCAGAGTAAATTCTAAGAGAAATTATTTTCGTGTATTTATAAGAAAAAAAATTATACTTTTATAAAATTTTTTAAATATTATAAAAATGTTATTCATTATAAAAATAACTAATTAAATTTTTATAATTTTATAAGCCATTTTTTACATTTCTGAAAATAATTTTTCTTTAAAGTTTTATTATTTATTCGTACAAAAATTAATATTATTCTTCTTTCATATTGTGAAAAAACTTTTAATATTACAAAAATATTTTTGAAAACTTTCTCAACAGAGAGAGAAAGAAAGAATGGACGTATCTAATAATTAATATGCAAACAGGAATTTGGCTGTCCATATGAATTATTGCATGACAAACCAGACGGCTACTTCAAACAAATGGTCGCGAAGACAGGGAATGAAATGGCGCAGAATCTTTTGGAACAGGCGAAAAAAGCCTGTCAGAAAAACAATAATCGAAATTTGGATCTGTCGGAGCAAAGTTCCAGCGAGAACGATATTATAATCACAGAACAATCCAAACTGTAGATTTATTCGTATACTTACATATAACAGCGTTTTTCATTCAACGAAACTGCAACTATTGTGTGAGATGATGAGATGATCTACTTACCTTGGTCACTTTAGAATTAATATATAAATCGTTACATATTATTGTCATATCATTATAAGATAATTATATTAAAAGAAATTTATATTATTATTTTCTGATTTTTAAGCAACTTCGAATCTAGATCCTTCAATTTTGATAAAAGAATAAATATCATTTGAGGAAATCTAAAACATTTTATAATTAATGTATTAGAAATATATCGATTGTTCTTATATGTATAATATATTTTGAAAATATAATACATATTTAAAAAGAAAGGAAGAGAGAAAACACACAAAAGAATATGTGTGTGTATCTGTTTAACAAAAAATGTAGAAAAAACGTATAAAAATGTGTAAAAGAATAAAATAAATATTTACAAATTAAGAATCTATTTTGCACGAGCTAATCATCCATGCTAATTTTCCATAATCGTAGATTCATTATTTTAATAAAGCAAAAGAGTTTAAAAGTAACTGTTATAAGAATTTCATAACACTTTTAAATCGTTTGAACGCTAATCAACTAAAGATATTTTAATCTCTCTCTCGTATCACAACTGCATATCACGTATATTTATTTGATCGATATGACAAACATTTTTAAATTTAAAAATATTGATTTTAGCACTTATTTTTATAAATTATATATACGTTATTTATAAATTTATTTTTCATAGAATCAACCAACTACTATATCAATGTTTCAAATCTTGTTTTAAGATAAAGATATATGATGTAAGAAATTGATTTATTTAAAAAAAAGAAATAAAGTTATTTAAAAAAAAAGAAAAAATTGTAATTGGGATTTTAATTTACAGATTCGTATTTCACACACAAAAATAGGCAATATTGTAAAGTTAGGCAAAAGAGAATTTTCAAAATTATTACCCAAATTATTACCAAAATTTTAGATAATTGATGAAACTCACCAATACGATGCGCAGTAGTAGAGTTGTAAACTGTAAATTAAAATACATGGAAATTAAATAGTAAAATTTAAAATAATTAATATTTCGAAAAATATAATTTTTATCTAAAATTATTTATAGATTTTTAAAAATTTTATTTATTAAATAGATAAATTTCATTAAAAAATTATTTTTATAAAAAAATTTTTTTTAAATATAAATTTTTTTTAGAAAATTTAGTAGGTAAAAATTTAATTTTTAAAATAAATAATCTAAATAATAATTTGTTTATAAAAAATGCAAAATGTAAATATATTTTATAAATGTATAGATATTGAATAATATTATATAATTATATTAAATAATTTTAAACATTTTAAAAAATAAAATAAGCAAATATATGTAATGCTTTATAACTCTATATATATATTACAAAATAATAACACAAAAAATATATCTTGCAAATATGAGAATATTTAATTAAGCTTAAATAAAGAATATAATAAATAAATAATTATATTAAAAGATAAATTGCTCACCATATAATTCACCTGCAGTTGCTTGATACCACTCGGACCTCCTCCTCCCTTTCGTAGAAGTTTCGAAACACACACGCATGCACTCGCGTTATTTTTTTACTTATTCGCGACGACGTCCGGGTTTTATATCACATTTTCGACGCGTCTCGGTAAATCGCGAGAGTTTAATCACGCGTAAATAAAACCGACGCTTCGTTTTCGCGTTGCCGCTTTTTTCAAGGCCGCTTATCAAAGGGCTTCATCGAACGACAACGACAACTTTCCCGCGACGCACTCAGAAGTCGCTCATATTTAAGTATCGGCCGCTAAACTTCACTATGTTTTATGTTTCACTGCATATTCGACGACGAAAAAGTGCTAATTAACGATACGGGCGATAATTAACGACGTAAAAAGATACTAATTAATACTCGCACACTTGTACTTTCGCGAAGAGCACCGGCGATGAGCTCGGATCAGCGCGCGAACTTCAGCCACGAATAACGCGAAAGTACAGTAGAAGGCAGCACTCTAGATTGTATTCGGAAATACCCCTAGGGTGAAACGTTGCTTGATACTGAGCTACCGAGACTATCCGCATAATGGCGCGCAAGGCGCGCAAGTGTCACTCCGCTATGACACTTCGTTCGCTTCGCGTTGTTACGTTAATTATCATATAAGTCGCATTAAAGACGCGGCGCGCCGAGAGATGTCGCACGTTGTACGAATTAATTTAAGGACATTTCGATGCGTTTAATGTGAATTAATATTCGGACACTCGCTTCCCCGGAATCGGAAAAGTATTAATATTTTTTTCAACAGATATTTTGTTTGTCTTTCTATTCGCGAATGTGATATCGAACGTGATCGAGCGGGATCGAAATTGCCGAGTGCATTCGCGAATGACTTATTCTTTTTTGTATCGTCCGTTCATTTCGAAGTGCATCTGTGTGTAGTGAAGTGCGATAAATAATTATTGCAAATATAAAGTAATAAAAAAACAGTGCAGTGAACAGTGCCAAACCATATGGGATTATAGCAGAGCAGCAGTGGAACATATAAGGAGATGTATTAAAGAGAGGTTTAGATCATCGACTCAACGCAATGTGAGTTTATTTCTTGTTTATGTTACATTGTTCGGAAAATAATAATTGATTGTTATTTTTAGGAATTCTTTTCTTAAAAAGTGTATACTAAAAAATTATATTGCGTTTTTATTATTTGTAATTTAAAAATTAAAACAATTTTTGATATATTAATAATAAAATTATAAAATTATATATATATTAATATAATATTAATGCTAAAATTGAAATTATTTTGTTAATAATAAATTTAATAAAATAAAAACGTAATTTTAACTGAACGTAGAAAATAAAATTAATATTAATTTTTGAAATAAGGAACTTTTTATATAGGATTAACGCAAACAAAATCATGCAAATAATAAAAGTTTTTAATCAATAAATAATATTAATTTGCAAATTTAACGTTTATCTTATGACAAATGATGAAAAGTTAGATTAATTTTTGCAACTGACAAATTAATTTTGTTCATTATTTTCCGAACAATGAAAAGTTCACGTATTACTTCATTGTGAAATATCTGCGATTTGAATACGATATTATATGATAACACTTTTGAATAAATTAAGCTGAATATATATTTTATGTAAAACAATCTTTATAATTATTTAAATGCTTAAATGCAGAGCACTAAAAATTTTTTTTAATTTTCTGGGAGAGAATTACTGCAGTGACCTCTCTTTTTTTTAATTAACTAATATTAAAAACTATAATATTAGGAAAAAAAATTAATAGGTATTAAAAGTTAATATAAAATTGAGAAATGGCGTGCGCTTTTATTGTTCTAGTTATTTAAATTTTAGGTAATTATTTTGTGAAAATCCTCTTTTTGCCGAAACTATACAATATCTTTTCTGTCAGAATCCATGTAACTTTTTTTTATTTGAGCATAATAATTTTAATTTATTAAATAAATTAATTAGATATTTTATTAAATAAATTATTAAATAAAAATAGATTCATATTTTACTCACAAAAATACGTAAAATTCTAGTTTCGGCAAAATCGGAGGAGATATAGCTGTGCGAAAATATTATACATTTTTAATTATTAATCTCATATTATGAGTCAGTTTTTGTTTAACAAAAACAATAGAATAGAAAATACAGAGTTGGGTAAGTTAATGATTTTTTAAAAACTATGTTAAGATAAAGTTAGTTGCTTATAAAATTAATTTAGTCAAGTTAAAAGTTTTATGAACAAAAATTAACTTAATTAAAATTAAGAATAAATTAACTGAAGTAAAATCAAAAGTTAATTTTTAAAAATATTCATATTATAAATTAGAATTTTATTTGTTAATTCTTTTAAAATTTATAATAACAAATAACAAAAAAATCTTGACTTTTATAAACAAATATATTTTTTGGTAATTACAATTAATGACAAATGAACATAAAAATTAATATAATACTTTATTTAAAAAATAATCCAACCCTGTATATCAATATTCGTAAAGCTACTGCTGCCATCGTTTCTCCGCCAGATGGCGGAGGCATTCAATCTCGAGTGCTGCTATGAAACTTTGCTACACCTCACTTCAGTCATCGTTCTCCCTCCTCCCTATTCGCGTTTCCCCCACCGAGCGGCAGAGCGCGGCGCGTGCGCGGCCGAGTGGGGGAGAGTGTTTGGCAGCGCGGTTTGTTTAGTTGCACGTTGACGGCGGCCGCGATCGAACTATTGGCGTGTGTGTCCGCGTCTCGCGGAAGTGTGCTACCGGCGTCGTTGCTCGCTCATCGCAACGCATATTTTCGCTCGTCGCGTTCTCGCGTCACATTATATCGCGTTTACGAATCGAAGCTTTTTTCCCTCGCGTTTCGCCGGAAAAAAAAGAGTGCGTAGTTACAAATCTCCATATCTCCCGATTCCTCCGTCCCCGTAAATCGCTATACGTGAGTCGCTATTTTGTCGTTTCCTATTTTTGTCGCCTCTTGTCTCTCTCTCTCTCTTTCTCGTGTGCTGTGCGATTTGTTGATCGTCGTTCGTCTCTCCATCTTCTTGTGCCATCGTCATCGTCGCCGATCACGCCTGCATTCACATTGCAACGAGACATGTTCACGCTAAACGGGTGATGTCGCAGAGCGCAGAGGATGTCACGTCGCAAGCAGAGCAACCCCAAGCCGCTGAAACGTGAGTTTGTGCTTTTTTCCTCCCTTCTCTGTCCGGCTATTTCACGTGCTTGTTTCCGGTGACACGTGCGTATCTTTCGTGCGTAGGTGTATGTTTACGTCTGTGTGTGTGTGTCGCGCGCGCTTTATCCCGCGCTTTTTTCCCGCGATGCGACGTCACGATTTTTCATTCATCTATTCATCAACCGAATTTTGCACGAAGGCAGCAAAGTGCCGCCTTGGCGCATTACGCGATTGATCAATTGATGAATTAAAAACTCGACAATATAGTTGAGCGAAAGTAATTTTATATCGCCGTCAAGTTTGTTATTTGAATTGGGTACGTTTATGTGATATTTTTTGCGTTAAATTAGCACAATTGTTACGTTGCTAAATTTAGTCCTATAGATCGATTCGTCTCTTCCAGATTTTAGTTCCGAAAAGGGACGAAAAAAATTATGATTGACATTGACAGCGATATCGATAGTTAAAGAGAATGTATCGAATGTCGTGTGAATATAAATTACTTTCATAACTGCAGTTTTTTTCTAAAGATATGTAGGTATGTTAAATTCAGCAACATT